CTAAGCTGATATTTTAATCACTTAGGGAATATTCAGCGATAGACTTAATAATAATTAAGTAATATATTAATAAAAACTTAGTAAAAGGATTTATCTAAGAATCTAAATCTTTATAAAGAAGTAATATCTTATTTATAGAAAAGAAAGATAGTAGATAATAAATATATATCAACTACTGTTAATTAAATAATACTATAAAAAAGGATTATTATATACTACTATTAGCTAAGGAGCTACAGGACAGACTTATTAAAGCTAAGATTTTCACTTAACTTAACTTATAAGAAGCGTATAACCTCGTTAAGATAGCTAAAGGTAAAGAAGAGAAAATAGTATTTCGTACTTATTTTAGTTACTATAAGTATATAGTTATACTCTTCGGCTTAACTAATATACTAGCCATATTTTAGCGTCTAATTAATAATATTTTACGGCCTTACTTAGACGTAATATATATATACTATTTAGATAATATACTAGTCTACTCTAAATTAGAGGAGTAATATATAAAGGATATCACAGCTATCCTTTAAAGGCTAAAAGACACTTACCTATTACTTAAACTAGAGAAGTATAACTTCCACGTAAATAAGATTATCTTTCTAGGCTATATAGTTACTACTATAAGATTAGCTATAAATCTTAAAAAGATTAAAGTAATTATTAAGTAAATAAGGCCTACGAATATTAAAAAAATACAATTATTCTTAGGGTTTACTAACTTCTATAAGCGATTTATTAAAGACTACTCGAAAATCGCTAGGCTACTTATAAAGTTAACCTATAAGAATAAGTAATTTCACTAGTCTAATAGCGCGCGAAAGGCATTTAAGGCACTTAAAGTAGCCTTTATTATAGAACTAGTTCTTACTTCCTTTACCTTAAATAAAGAAATATATATAAAGACAGATTCTTCAGACTACGCTATTAGAGTCGTACTTAGCTAGCTAAGTAAGGACGGAAGATAGTAATTAGTTACTTACTATTCGCGGAAACTATTACTAGCGGAACTTAACTATAATATATATAATAAAGAGTTACTAGTAATTGTAGATATAGTATATAAATAAAAGGTCTACCTTAAAGGCGCCGCCTATAAGGTACAGATTTTAATAGACTATAAAAATCTTATTTACTTTATAACTACTAAAGAACTAAACTAATGTTAGGTCCGTTAATACGAAACTCTCTTTACTATTAAGCTTTAAATTTCTTATATTAAGAGAACAGAAAATACTTAAGCTAACGCTTTAAGCTAGAAACTAGAATATCTTATAAATAAGACTCACGAATCTTATACTATACTACGGAAAAATAGCGATTTATTAGTTATTAATAGCTGATAGCTAGCTATAATAGGATAGCTAGTTATAAAGAGAATCTAGAAAAGCTACGCTAATAACTTAGTTATAGCTAAATAGCGATAATAACTAGGCGAAAGATTCTCTTTTTCTTTAAAAGAAACTCTCCTATTCTAGGGACAAATATATATACTTACTTAGGACTAAGCTAAATTCGTTATGGACTTCTATAAGCTACTTACTTATAGATATTAAAAGTTAGCTAAGATATTATTTAAGCTATCTAAAGAATACTACTTTCTGGAAATAAGGAAGGTAGTTAAAGACGTAGTAGTATCGTGCGATATATATATCTAAAACAAGGTATCTCACTACGCTCTATATAGACTTATAAAGTTATTAATAACACTACCTCGCTTATAAAAATTAATCGCTTTAGATTTCGTAGTTAAATTACTACCCTTAAAAGATTTAGTTATAAGAATCGTATATAACTTGATTTATATAATAACAGATAGATTTATAAAGTACGTGTATATAGTACTAGTACTTAAAATATAGGACGCGCCTATGATAGCGCAGGTATTCTTTAAGATAATTCTTATAAGCTACGGAATACTAGAAAAGATTATCTTAGATAAAGATAAGCTCTTCACCTTGAAGTTCTAGAAAACTCTTATTACGCTCTTAGGAATAAAACAGAAAATATTAACTGTATTCTATTCTTAAACTAATATATAAATAAAACGAATCAACTAGATAATAGAGACTTATCTTTAATATTATATAAACTATAAACAAGACGACTAAGTGTAGCTACTCCTACTTGTCTAGTTTATATATAATAGCGCGGATTAAGAGATTATTAGAGTATTATTATTTTACGCGAATTATAGGTATAACCCTACGGTATATAACCTATTAATAGCCGGTTAGGGTACCGCGTAAGAAGTTATACTATAGGTAGGTAAGCTTAAACAGCTCTATAAAGAGTTATTAGCTAATATTCTCTTTATTACGTAAAGATCTACGATTTACTACAATAGAAAGCGTAGTATAGGACTAATACTTAAGGAGAGAGATAAAGTCTACTTACTTAGAAAGAATATTATAACTAAACGACTAAGTTATAAATTAGATCATAAGAAGCTAGGACTATTTAAAATTATTAAAGTTAAGGGACTAGTTAATTATTAACTAGCTTTATTAAAGACAATAAATATTCACCTAGTATTTTATATATCTCTCCTTAAACTAGTACTGCTAGGAGCACTACTAGCTTTTATTACTAAAATACAACTGATTAATCCAAACGCTAAGTACAAAGTAGAGGCTATCCTTAACTATCAGAACTTTTATAGTAAGCTAAAATATTTAATTAAATAAAAAGAGTACTTATAATTAGAAAACACCTAAGAACTTAAGTCTAATCTCTACTATCCTAGGCTTCTTTAAGACTTTTATTAATAAAGTCTAGGTTTACTTAAAAGGAAGAGGACTTAAGGTCAGGAACTCGGCCCTTAAAGAAAGATACTAGATAAGCGTTAGGCTTAAAGGCAGGGAACTAAGAGTTAGGGTTATTTTTAATAAGCTTAAAGGGAAGCGTTAAGGGACGAGCGGAAGTTATAGTCTTTTCTATCTTTAACTAGTATATAAGCTATCTAAGAATGAACTTTTTAATATACCCTAAGATATTATAATCGTAACGCTTTAAGTGAACGTACTTAGAGTATCTTTTTAAAATAGATAAATCTAAAAAGCAGGTATAAGAAAGGCTATAGTAGAAAAAATAAGGCTTTATAAGTTACGCGACACGCTTAATATAAAGCGTGAGCTAGATACTTTATTTTTTCTTTATTTAAGTAATACTTAATTTCTTTATAATACTAAATATAATAGATAAGAAAGATAGCTATTAGTAGCTATTAACGTTTTTTAGGTTATACTTAAGTGTAGGGACTACGCTAGTATAGAAGAGGGGATAATGTTATAGACTGCTTAAGAGCCTAGTGCTCTTAGGGGGATTCTCTTAAGAGCCTAAAGATTCTTAGGTAGAAAAGGGTAAGAGACTATAGGCTTAAAGAGATACTAGTTCTTAAAAGAAGTCTTTTAAAAAGGAAAAGCTCTTAAGAGAACTCCTCTTTTAGGATTTTATAGTACTATAATAGTTATATATATTATATAATCTAAGTACTATAGTTAAGAGCGCTAGTTTTAGTAACTTAATATTATATAATAAATCCTTAGATCTTTAGATCTTATAATAAGAGAAGGGATTTAAGGATCTATAGATTTATACTTAAAGGATCTAAGGAAATAAAGGTTTTATATAAGATTAGTATATCTGCTACTAAATAGGAGCTTTATACTTAACTTTAAATAGTATTTTGATATTTAGTAACTATCTTTCTATCTATATAATATACCTACTTCTCGATTATTAGAGATTAATTATAGCCTTCTGTATTTACAATAAGTAAATACCGGACTGTTACAGTAATTCCCTTTTAATTCGCTGCTATAGTTAAGCTTTTTAAGTTAAAGGCTTTATTTAATACTCTAGTTACTTAATAATAATAGAGTTCTTTAGCAGTAATAGCTTAAAGAAGCGTTCTATTAAGAGAGGATTAAGCAGTAGCTTATAACTTTATTAATAAGTAAAAAGCTAAAATACTAGTTATAGTTATAAAGGCTTTTAAGATAGTAAAAAGAGTAAAAAAGAAAGCGTTTAAAGAGAAGTCCTTTTACTACCTAAAAGAGGTATTAAAAGTTATAAGCGTCTTAATAAGAAAGGTAAAGTGTGACGCTAATCAGTTAAGTAAGGAAGTAATAAAGATCGCGTTAAAAAAGAGCTTATTATTTATAAAGAAAGCTAAAGAGTATTTAGCAATAAGTGTAAGTAATATAATAAAAGTAGATAGTTAGTAAGATTCTTAGTATATGTTTCTTTTTGTTTATATAATACTTCAAGGGATATAATTAAAGGGCGACTATTTATTTAGAGGGGAATATATATAGTAAGATAGTATAGTTTTAGGTCAAAAGATAGTTAGCCTATTTTATAGATTATATAAGTAAGCGCGATAACGCGTAATAAATATATTATCTTCTCTCTCTTACTTTTACTACTTATTTAGTTAGTAGTCCTTTATATCCTTACTTACTATACACTTTAACAGCACTACCTTACTTCTTTATATTATACAAATTAATTATAAAGGTAGTAGTAACCACTTCTTTACTATACCCTATTAGGAAAAGTCTAGAGCTCGGTAAGACTCGGTAAAGCTCGGTTAACTTGAAAGGGGTTTACCGACAGTTACCCACTTAGTTATACGCAAGAGGAAATAGCTCTACGCTACTATAAGAGTTTACGTCAAGCTTTACGTCAAATGTAATTAGGCCTAATCGGGAATAGCCCGGTGAATTTGTCTATATAGGCTCGAGCGCCCTTCACGGAATCGAGGGCTCCTCAGCTTGATATTCGCGCTAATAGAGAGGTTATCACCTGATCCGTGGTTATTTCGCTCACGTGCTAGCTAACGCTAAACCGTGCTATTACATTAATACGCTATTATTAAGCTTTCTTTTAAGCTAACATTTATAAAATTTGGATTAGTAATAAAAAAGTTATAGTATATCAAACAGGCGCGGCGTTCTAACTGGAGAATCACGCCAAACTGAAGCATAGCTTATATACGTAGATTTAAGAATATACCCAGTAACAACGACGCCGAGGAAAGTCCTTATCCACAGATTTGATTTTCGGTACAGGTATGCCTCGTGACAAATGAGCATCCAGCTTGTTTCAGCATTTGGCAGAACTAAGCATATACCCAGGCGATCGCTGGGATTCACTCAAAACGAGAAAGATCTAGACTCTGGGAATTCGCTACATGCAGCTGCTAAAAAATTGATTCGGATGAAGCTTCAGCTTCACAGCGGCCATACCGCTTGTTGCTAACCTGCCAATAAGTTAATTGTTAATAGAATTCAATAAAGATTTCACAGTAAAGCTCAGCTGCTTTAAAATATTATATGTTACTAAGAGTAAAAACTTTTCCTAATTTTATAATTCTTGTTATCCAGCCGAGCCAGCTTTGTAGAAGGTATGTCTTTTAAGCGAATACTAAACGACGCTAAAATGTCCCTGTGGCGGTTGATGGGATAACTTCGTAAGCAGCTCTAGTTGGCTAGAGCACCTCAGGGAGTGCCGCAGGTACGCCGGGTGCACGACAAAACAGAAATACAAAATTTGAAGTTAACACCAAGTAGTAATTGCGTAGAATGTTGCTGTCCAGGGCCAAACAATGGACTAATTCGGCAATAACGAAGGAGTGACATATCTTGCAACTATAGTGGAGAATCTTAGCGGAGAAGCTGGTAGTTGATGGAAGAATAAGTGAGATCACCATACCCAAGCTCTCTTTATACAGAGAATTCGCAACTAGCAGACAGAACTTGCTCCATTACTTAGAAAATGCGGATATATTTATAGGCTCGGGCAGGTAAAAAGGAGAGCAGGGCTTTACAGAATCTCGACCACTTTATCGTGGGAGAATGAAGAGGTTTATGCATTATGTAGGGTATATACACACCATCCGAAAAAGAATACAAACCACGCCTTACCATGCATATATGCGTACTGTGCTGTGCTGTGCTGGCAATGCAAATGCAGCTCAGCCGAGCAAAATCCTGTCCAGAACAATTCCAACCAATCCGGACCAATCCAACTCCTCCGACCAAAAATCCCAGCCTCTTCATTGTTATGCTCCGCTTATCTTCTCCAACCTCAAATCATTCACCACCATATATCGACTGAGCCCAATCCAACCCCAACGAAACCACCGCATCTGGCTCTTATGCGCACTCGTCATTGCGGACTGCGCGGCGCGGACTTCGTTGATGCCGCTCAAGAAAAGGAGAGGTGAAGGGTGTTCGTTCATCTGTTTCTTGCTCACGACAATCACAAGCAGACTAATGATCGAGTCGAAGAAACTCGTATACTTCCGCACCACGTTCACCGAAGTCAGGGAGTATAGATCAACCGGACAGCCCCAGCCAGGTCGATTGTGTATGAGGGAGGAAATAAAATGACGTGCGCCGTGGAATAGGGAGATATGGTTGGGGTGTGAAGAGACGCCTGATGCGTCGAAGGTTATCAGAACATCGATTGTGGCGGTTGGCGCATCTGCAGATTTATTCTTCATGGGGTTGGAGAGGTTCGGCGCGAAGGCTGACGAGAGAAGAGAGGCAATCTTCTGTTTATCCCAGGCTGTAGTCATGCTATCTGGGAAGTCACTGTGGAAGAAAACAATACATTTGTCAGTTGTGGTCCAAGAGGTGGAGGTGGGGGTAGAGGGGTTGATGTGTGGGTGCGTACGGGTTTTCAACCACAAACACATCGTCTTCTTTGCGCAGACCCAATGCCATGCCGCTCTTGACCAATTCCTTCTTGCGCGTTTCCCCCAATCCGTCTGCGTCTCCTGGGGGTAATGTGTTAGTGAGGTCCTTCAATCGCCATCGCGTGCCATCCTACTTCGTGCGCCAGGCACAAACACAAGAGGTGACGTACCACTGCTCAAACATAGGATCTTGACATGATTTCCCAGCTCTGGATTGTTCAATGCCAGGAGGGTCGGCGCGAAGAACATTGCCTCGTCATCAGGATGCGCGATCAGAAGACATATGCGCTTGTTGCGCAGTTTGGGGAAGCGGCTGCGCGCAATGTTGACGGTGTATAGCCATGCAGTGATGGCAACGAGGGGAATCGCAAGGAGCGTGAACCATTGCATGACTACGCTGAAAGAGCGGAGGCAGTGGGAAGCGTGGAATGTTGGCAGACTGCGGAGGTCTGGTCTTGAGTGCTCTGCTGTTGTTTTGCTGCAGGAGAGAGGGTGTCGCGTGGATAAGGGGGCGACTGAAGGTGGTGAAGCCACCTGGCATTGAGGAGAGGAGAGGAGAGGATCAGCGAGACGAGGCGAGAGTTCCAATTGAATGACCGAGGGCGAGGGGCGCGGGCGCAAATGTTAGGCCCCGTTAGCGAGGGGTGACGGCGGGAACTAGCCCTGATAGCGGATAGCCCGGGGGGTTTAAAGTTGGGCCACAGATGCACTGCCCTGCACTGCCTGAGTCCCAAACAACCTTATATTTCTGCTGCGACCTCAGCTGTGGCCAGTGGCAGCTTATCTAGACAGCCAAGGCGAATAGAACCAGGTTGAAGGGGATCAGGAAGGCGAATTTGAGAGACGACGAGGCATCGGTTGACTGTTGTCCGCAGCTGTTTCTTGGGCAAAAGAGGCACACGACACCGAGGCATCTGAGCAAGAGCTCTAGGAGCTAGCGGCGACCCATTGACGATATTGGCTCGAGCGAAAAGGAGGAGGACTATAATCTGCTAGCGAAAGGCCTATACAAAAAGAAGTGTGTATACTTGTGGATAGATACACTGAGGACTGAGCGAGGATCATTCCGAGGAGAGCGACAGGGACTTCAAGATAGATCCAAGCCTAAGCAGCTGCAGGAAAAGTACCCTCACAATGGCGCGCCATCGAAAGGAAAAGACCCCCAAGAAGATCCCTCTATCCCAACCTGATCGATCCGGTCCCTCCCAAGCAACCCTCCTCGACATCGCCGAACAGCGCGGCCTCCTCAAAACCTACGATGGGCAAGCCGACAGCTCTTCACTGGAAGGCAGAGCCGGCGAAGAAGCGGATACAGAAGCATTGGTCGGCAGATTGGGCGAGTCGGTGTTATGGAGTATAAGTTTGACGATGCTGCATTTCACGTTGGATGTGTTGATTTCGCATCAGTATGGTGCAGATAGTATTGTTTGGCAGGATATTATGTGGAGGGCTTTGCAGGCATTTCCGGGTATGTCTCTTCCTCTTTCCCATGCTGACTGGATTCACGGCTAACGATATCGGTCGTAGTCATCTTTCTCCTAATGTACTTCTTCCATCAACATCCGACACCATCGCCCGTCATCCCTCCACTCGCTCCAAAAGCTTTGAAAATAACATACCAGACTCTATTTTTTGTTGGCTCGGTCTCAGCCGGATGCTATCTCATTTACATCACGAACATGCATGGATATTATGCTGTTATGAAACAATCTCCTCCGCTTGGGTGTCTATGGATTTGGTCTGTTATCGAATTGGATCTAGTACCTGCTGTGGGGAGTCTGCTGTGGTGTGTAGTCTTTCTGAAGTGGGGAGGATACAATTATCTGTGAGATACTGTATGTACTTATGTCAGATAGAAAAAGGAAACATACATCTCGGGGGCCTTGCATGGGACCATCCGCCCACTTTCCCAATGGCTATTCCTTGACAGGTATTTAGAGTCCTAATAACATAGCAGCATCAACCCGGATTAGTAAAGCCTCGGTTCTAAACGGAATGGGGTCCTTATCCCAAGATACTCTGGCTCGATGTCTTGCAATTTCTTTGTGCTGCTGAAGTTTGTTTGCCTCCACTTGTCAAGACTGGAACGTCCTTCTAGATCATGTGATGCCCCCTCGCTTGTTTGTTTACCGTACAGGTTCGGTCATTATTGAAGCTCTTTCAGTTAGCGCGAAGTCAGTACATGCCATGTCTCTTTGAACTTAACCACATTTGAGTAGTACACCTGATTTCCTGAATGGTGCCTATTCTAAACAATGACCTTCTTTGATTCTGCCTGCCAGAATACGATTTCTTTCAGAACGTCCATCACCTTTGTTAGGTGACTAACGTCTTTCTCGAGATTTCCCATCAAATCTCAATCAATGATGATGAACAATGAGGACATTGTCGGTCATATACACAGCCTTTCTGCATCCCCTTACTTCCTTTAGAGCCTCTGAAGAACATCTTCCATTTCATTGCCAGGTGATTCTTGCACTCTTCATTGAAAAAGATGTGATCAGGTAACTGTTCCATGTAGATGAAGACACTTGGATTCTGCATGAATTGTATCGTTCCTTGTTCCATCTCCAATGCTCGCCTCTTCCTTTGTTAGATCTTGTGGGCGAGGAGCATATAAACACAGACATTCCCCTCTGAATTACTAACTCAAAGTCATCTTGTACGCCAAATATGAAGGAGCCAGGCCCCACTTGGTGGGAGAGTCCACCTTCAGAATCGACATCCCCAACTCCAACCAAAAAAACACGCTCCACAGACAAAGCCAGCCCATCACTTCCCGAGAAATCAATCCGACCCAAAATCTCAACAGTCAAGTCAACTGTGAAGTCCACCAGCTTACCACCCCGAACTGGCAACTTCCACAAAGATGAGGAAGCCTCCTTAACAGACAATTACACCTCCTCTCACCTCCCAGAATCAGAAGTCTTAAATTCGAACAAAGTTGCAAGCAACAGTTCCGGACTCGACATTATCGATCTCATTAATCGACCAATCCACCCAGTAAAAGATCTCCCCACCGTCCATCAAGGGACAGACGCCAACGCTGAAATGGCAGGATTTTCTCATATCGAGACATCAGCACCATCTCCCAAGGACGGAGTATCCCCATCTGAGAACGGCGAAGCGTCAGGACTCAGACTAGAGAGTACTCCATCTCTTCAAAGTGGCGCCGACCAATCTGATCCAGATCCTGCCACAGAAGATGCAGAATCCAAGCCTGTTCCGACTGAATCAAGCAACGACAAGGGCAAGAACAAACACTCCCACTCCCCATCCACTTCCCCCGCAAGCGCACAAGCCACCAATCTCCCGGGAAGTGAAGAAACCCCCAAAATCTCCTCATTCAAGATTCGAGGAACCAGAGGCGTAGCTCGCGAAGTCAAGAAAGTCAATCCCCAGCCCGAGCCCAGGCCTAGGGACAAGGTCACCCCCAAGCCTGCATTGAGCGACAGCGATATCGACATTGAAGACGCCCCCAGTCACAAGATTCATAAACCAGTCTCTGCCCGGTCAAAAACTCTGCATAGACCTGCGAAGGAGGGATATGGTCCAGCCGGTTCGGGTGATGTTGGGGATCAGGATGGTGATGGGGAGGAGGAGGATGAGTATGAGCCTCGAGTCCGTGGCGGATTAGGCTCACCCCACCGCGACATCCCCAGCTCCGACGATGACTATTCGGAGGAGACCATCTCCGACCTTTCAATCCATTCCGACGGCCCACTTGCGCATCCATCCACAGTCAACACACCAAACACACCTTTTACTACCTCCGCACTCCTCCACTCATCTAGTGCGAAATTCATCGTTTCGCTCTCGAAACAGATTTCTACGCTCGAAGAGTGTAATAGTAGATTGATATATAAGCTTAGGAGAGCGGAGGAAAGAGTTGAGGAATTAGAAAGTGTGATCGGGGAGCAGGGTGGGAGCTAGGAACGGGAGGAAATTGAGTGAGATCGAGAGATGTTATCGGAGAACATAGTGGAGATTCAAGGGGATGAGGGCGAAGGATTGAGATGATAGAATGACTTTTTTTTCATCTGCATTTGGGCTGTTTCGCGCGGGTCACTCTTTTTGACAATTAGAGATCTCGGCTGGCTCATTGATATTCAACTTGGCGTTCTCATTGATGTTTTCGGTTTCCAGAGGCTGCATGTTTGGAGTTTGGGTCTGCACATGAATAGGTTATCAGAAATAGCAAATAGAATATTACTGATACTTCTCCCACCTTTCGAGCTATAAAGCAAGTTGTCGTGTGACAGTGACAGAACCGCTCTTGCTAACCGTGTCGCTTAGAACACAACAGCCCGAATCCCCTCCCAATCATCGACTTCCTATATATAATTGCTCACTACGTCCCAGACATTTGGACATCCTCGTCTTCATACTCATTTCTGTCTTTATCTTAGTCTTCGTCCTCTGAGCCTCTCTCATACCATTTACCACTCTCATCATCCGCCCTTATTTGAGACAATATCACCTGATGACTGTGACAGAACCCGAGGCGTGAGACATATCTCATGGGGAGATGTCTCTTTGTAGTCTAGCATAATACTATGTATCATAGCTGGTATCGTGGAGGTGCCTAAGGGGTTCCCACTGCGTGCGGCTTCTTCTGTGCTTCCACAGATGTGGTAGCGCTTATTCCGGAAGATAATGAAGATTTTGGATGGTGGATTGGCATTAAATTTCTTGGGTGACGCTTCTTGCTTGGTTATTAAGGCTGGTCGTCTCTTTCTTGGCCTGGCTGCTTTGTTTTTGATTTTGACCTTGGTCTTCCGTTGTCTGGTACATGGCCGAATACAGCGCTCACCATACTGGGCTCTTACTATCTAGCGATGAAGACTGAGTCTTCATCGTTATTCCTTATCAAAAGCGTCCCATTTGAAGGTATATTCATTAGTATTTACTTGGTTGGACCACGATGGATCCTAAATGTCTGGAGTTCAAGAATCTGTGGTGGCGACTTGGGTTCCAATAGTTGGCATGACCCCCCTGGGGTACTCGGGGTGTGGCTTGGGTTCAGTTGACAGTAATAGAGGAGTCTCCATTTCTCTGGACGAAGGTAACCCAACATAAGGAGAGATTAAGGAATATGGAGGCGTGTACAGTTGGATGGAAAATAATCAAAAGCTTCAGTTCTTGAATACCAGCAATTAGGATCAAGAAGCCCACGTGAAACCCCTATGACAGATTTAATGAAACCTCGAGTTCGCAAAGCCTTGCTAAATAGCGAGGCTTCGTGCCCCTAGCGTGCGCAGAATAGTTGGAGCAAAACCTGTCAAAGCATGTCCACCGGAGAAGCACGACATAAGCTCAAAGACTGCATTGCTTGATTCTACAAAACCAAATAAGTTATCCTGCAATTCCTGCTCCACAGGAGAGTTAGCTCCGCTTGGTTACCGTTGCCGCCACAGAATGCAACAGCGGCTGAGCGGACATCAATTCGCATCAGATGCCCTCGGCCATTGTCTTCATTCGGTTAGTTGGGATCAGGGGGTATTTACTTTTATGCAGGTACAGAGTGGGGACGGACCAACCTTAACGAGCATTGACGAGAACCTTCTGTGTTTGGAGTAGCTCGCCAAGCAAATAAGATAAGCTCCCCTGGTCTCCGCGTGCGTGCGAAGAACGTTATTCCATGGATTGTTCTGCATCGGGCAGCTATGGTGGCATCGAGTTGCATCTTGCCTCCAATGGGAAGGTCAGTATGCAGGAAATATTGGTGAGTGACCAAGAGGATCCATGGATATGCTTCCGAAGTGTGAAGATCACCATCGACAATTGCGATAACGTATTGTGTCGTTCTGTGGGGATGCAAGTGCCTCGGTGCCAAATTCCTCTTCTTTCGAGGGGTAAAAATGTTATAGATACTGTGACTCGCCCTTGGTAGCAGATCCATCAGCGACTGCGTCTCCAGCTGTATCGTCAAGATGTTGTTCTCAAGCAAAACCGCCCTCTTCTTTCAAGCAGCATCGCTCGCTTCTGCTGTAACACTTCCCAGTGGTTACAAAGCGAGTCCAAGAAGCGAGAAGGTTGTCCCGGGTGCCTATATTGTTACTTTCGAGTCAAACTTAGTATGTTGAACTCTAAACACCACAGAAAGAGCTCGACTAATACCTTCAGCCATCATCAGCCAACTTCTACCAGAATTTGACTGCCAATGGTATCCCAGTCACCACTCGCCAGACATTCGATCCTGCGATTTTTGCTGGAACCTCATTCCATCTCCGTGACGTCAATGATACACATCTCGATACTATCGGAAACTTCACTCAAGTCAAGAGCATTTCTCCTGTCAGGCTGCACCAAAGAGCTGCTCCAGTCGGTGATGTGGCAAATGTTGCGAAGCTATGGTCTGCTGCGAAGCTGAAAGGCCGAGCAGTAGCGGACAGCGATGATATGACCACTCATAAAATGACGTAAACCAACCGGAACTGTCAATCAATGTTACAATGCTGATATGATTTAGTGGCGTTGACAAGTTGCAAGCCGAGGGACTCGATGGCAGTGGAATCACAATCGGAATCATTGACACGGGGTGCGTGCTGCAACTTTGAATTACGCTGATCATCTACTAACACAAGAAAGTATCGATTACAACTTGCCAGCACTTGGTGGTGGTATCGGTCCTGGATTCAAAATTTCATATGGTTACGATCTCGTGGGTGACTACGATGCAAATGGCAATCCAGCCGCTGATGATGATCCTATGGACTGTCTCGGACACGGAACTCATGTTGCAGGTATCATCGGTGCCTCAAATGATCCTTACATCTTGGGCGTTGCTCCAAACGCAACACTTCACATGTACAAAGTCTTTGCTTGTGAAGACAATGCACCAACAGACATTCTTATCCAGGCATTTATCATGGCCCACAACAATGGCGTCGATTTAATCACGTCCTCTATTGGCAGCAACAACGGTTGGCCTGAGGAGTAAGTCTGAGCTCTAGTCGTTCGAAGTCTCCTGCTAATTCACCCATCAGTCCTTGGTCTGCAGCCACTGCCGCCATTGTCGCAGCTGGAACACCATGTATGCTTGCCGCTGGAAACGCTGGCGAGGATGGAATGTTTTATGCATCGTCAGCTGCATCAGGAACCGATGTCACTGCAGTTGGATCTGTAGACAACACTAACACTCCCAGTGCAGCGACGATCGCAAGCTACACAGTTGATGGCGGCGCACCTATCGAATTTGTCTACAACCTGGCAGTAGGCAATTTCTCCGGCACCAGCCTTCCGATCGTTGCCACCAGTCTGGACAGTAAAGTGACGAATGATGGTTGCGACCCGATCACAAAGGACTTGAAGGGTACTATTGCTCTTATCCGCCGAGGAACTTGCACATTTGATACGAAGGTTGCCAATGCAGTTGCCGCTGGTGCTCAATACGTCTTTCTCTACAATAACGTCGCAATACCTGTCTCTCCTCAAATCACCGTCGCTGACGTTTTGGGAGTAGCTATGCTTACCAACGTCCTTGGAGAGGAGTTCGTCAAGCAGCTAGCAAGTGGTCACAAGGTCCAAGCCACGTTTGGAAAAGACCCCATTCTGAAGATTGATACCCCAGGACCTGTGAATAACCTTAGCGGTAACACGATGAGCACTTTCTCTTCTTACGGCTTGTCGGCTGAGAACACCATTAAGCCAGTCGTGTCGGGACCAGGAGGCTCGATCTTGTCAACTTACCTTACATCTGAAGGTAGCTACGCAGTCCTTTCCGGTACTTCTATGGCAACCCCCTTTGTTGCTGGAGTAGTTGCACTGTACATGCAAGCGAAGGGCAAAGGCATCAATCCCAAAGTGATCAATAGCGCTCTTGCAGCAACAGCAAACCCATTGAACTTCAACGACGGAACCAAGAATTCCACCTTCTTGGCCTCGGTTGCGCAGCAAGGATGTGAGTTTCTACATAGCCTTGCAATAAATGAATTGTTACTAACACTTCAATAGCCGGACTTGTTGATGCATACCAAATGGTTCGAGGAGGAATTTCTATCTCAGAGGCCAACGTGGCACTCAACGACACGGCCAATTTTGTCAAGAGCCCCTCCTTTTACGTCGAGAACACTGGCAAAACATCGGCGACCTACATTCTGAGTCACCAGCCAGCTGCAAACAGCTACGCTTTCGACAATTCCTACGGAACTGCTGGCAACTTCGGCGTAGTCCCATTCCCACCCCAGATGGATGAGAAGTATTCAACTGTTGTGATCTCCCCCTCAACTTTGACCATCGCCCCAGGTGCAAAGAAGCGAGTCAGCATCAACGTCACTCCAGATGAAAGCCTAAACAGCAAACTTGTCCCGGTCTACAGTGGGTTTATCAAAGTCACTTCCTCATCTGGAGAGGTTGCTGGCATACCCTATGCCGGTGTTGCCACCAAAATGAACGACATCCCCATCGCGGATCCTACTCTCAACCTCTATGACAATGAATATGCCTTGGGCATCGTGCCATATTCCGGCCCCGGAAAGACATCCTCTGGATCTATTGATTCGTATAAGCCTTCAGCCGGAAGCGTCCCAGTCTACTACTGGTCCAACACTTGGGCCTCCAAGGCTATCCGCTTTGACATTGTCAGCGTTAACGGCACCAACCCTGTTTTTGCCGCTGGTCTTGCCACCGCTGGCTCAGTGGCGGGATTCCCGTGGAATTGGGAAGCAAGAATTTTACCTGGTTTCTACAACGCCAATGCTTTTTACGGTACTTTATCGGATAAGACTGTTGTGAAGTCGGGCGTGTACAAGATGGTGTTGAGACTGGCGAAGGCTTTTGCTGATCCAAACCGTGGAAGAGAGTATGAAACTTTCGAAACTCCTCCATTTTATATGGATATGTCATAGACAGCACACATGTTCATATGTGGAAGTAGCATGATAATCTAATGTCATTGTTACTCTAAACCTCAGAAGCACAATACTTCCTTACTTTCTGTGTCTCATTTTTGATAGAATCTACTCAGATACCTCCATTTTTACTCTTTCTGCGTGATGCAAAAAGCCCCGACTTTCGCATTAACTAAACATGTTTCTCGAACATTTGCAATCAATCATGAATACCTGTGTTGTGTTGAAGAGATTCTGCAAGTATAAACCTTTGAATGTTGAGGTTTGGTGAATCATAAAGTGAAGCTGATGATTGTTGATGGAGATTGTTTCCAGCCCATCCAATTATTCATGACATCTCAAGGCTCAAGCAGGATTTCACCAAACCAGCCTTATACGAAGAAATAAGAAACTTAATTTCAGCATTGTGGTTGAAGAGAAATATGCGTTTTTGTTCTCCCACCAGGTCTGATTGGCCGTACATGAAGTTCGCTGTTCTCGAGTAACGCGGAAAAGCATCTCTATTTCCGAGCGCTTTACTCATCAGGTACACATTAAAGAAAAGCTTCCAAAATTGCGCTTCAGCATATCCCTCTGGCAATTTCCTCCATAGCCTTGTTCTAAGTCCACCCTTTCAGTGAAAGTAATCATACACTTCCATGACCTTCTCAATCACGGCAACCTTCGCCTTAGACTCCACTAAAGTACCCTTAAATAGCTCTCTTGTTGTTGTCTCCACTCTGGTGCCTGTACCAGCTCTAATTCGCTTTGCACCAGTGGCCTTTCCATCAGTAGCCTTTCCACCGACTTGAGCACTACTATGGGTAACTTTCTTAGGTGGCAATTCGTCGGAACTCTCACGCTCTCGGCGGTGCGTTCTTGGTTCATAAGACTTCTTTGTATTTGGCTCAGCGGCAAGTGTGCGTTATGAGCGGGTAGCAGGAGTGGAGGACGTAAGACCAGAGCGCCTTTGAAGAGGTGGAGAGGGGGTGACGAGATCGACGAATGGATGCTGGATGGTTTCAGGAGCTTCCCAGGACGAGAGAGTGAAGAAGCCGTTTCTGCGCGGCGTGGTTCGTCTTCAGGAAGGAACAAAGATGGACTCTCGGAGCGGCGATCATCTTGAGGGAGGAACAGGGACAGGCTCTCGGAGCGAGGCTTGTCTTGAGAAACGAACAGCGACGGGCTTTCAAATCGGGACGCCTTAAGAAGTGACTGTTAGGTAGCTTGCCTGACAAATAGATAAACTGAGAATTTAATTGTCCTGATAAGGATTTACTTGATTCAAGACTCACAGATTCTGGCTTCGCTGGTTCTGAGAGCATCTGGGCAGTTATTTCTCGGCAACTTTGAGGAGAATCCTTCAAGGAAACCTAGCCAAATCAGTCTCTGAAATATCAAAACGTGCGAGAACCCAAGGGCTCGCGTACCTCTTTAACACTACCTTCATCGTCAGAAATCTCGATGGGGGCCATGGACGTGGAGTTTCTGGCCCTAGCCTCCTTCAGATTCATTTGAGCCTCCCTGACCTCGCACTCTTGCTTCGCTTCTCTCTCGCGTACCCTAGGACCCCATGAGGACATTAGACTGCCCGGCTTCGGCTTAGACTTTTGATGACGACTTGCTGAACTAGGAGTTTGGGGCTTCGTGCCGTTCGACTGGCTCGACTGAGACGGGCTTCCTGTATCGATGGGCTTCATTTTCAGAGAGTCGTTTGTGCGCGAGGGCAAATGGAAAGCACAATGAATTGGAGATAGACTGAGATTTCGGTGTGGATCTGCACCGAGTTCTGGAGGGCGTTGTTGGTGTTGTTGTTATTGTGGGAGGAAAGGTCGTTGCTGGAAAAGAGGAGGGAATTGATTTCGGAGATGCGAGAGCGACAGTTCAGTCTCCTGTGCTGCATGTCTGAAAACGCTAAACAATATTCGCCAACCAAAAATCTTTGACGGCACCCAGAGACATATGGAACTTGGTAATTTGTGTATTCTCCCTCTTTGACTTCCTACTCTCTTGCTATCATGAAGGAGCGGCAAGCACATCTAGGTGGGAGATCCCCTTTTGCCTCTGGGGAGAACCCAGAGCCAGTATCAGATCTTGAACAGTCAAGAGAAGCTTTTGGAAGACTATATATGGAGAACATTCAATTTCCATGTAGATCAGGAATTGCCAAGTCTTTCGTCACATTTCTGAAGCCTTTTGGCTTCCGCGCTGAAACCCGGCAGCCCCGCTTTAATGCGAAAGCCCTTCCTTGCACGCAGAAACTCTCACAGACACAATAGTATCAACAATCATTTATTACAGCCCGTCCAGTTTATTCTCCGTCTCACATCCGGGTTTAAAGTTGTTTGTAGGTGTCTGGCCTGCAGCCAGTAAGTGTTACCTGAATAGGAAATTCACCCGAAGCGGCCGCTTGAACCAAAATATCCCTTTCACCGTTCTTGTTTGGAACAACTTTGACACTGGAAGGCTCCTTGTGCTTCAATAAAGATTCATTCTCTAATCTGAAATTCTTTTAACAAGTCTCACTCAATTTTGTAATCTTGAGAGCGAATTGTAACCAAGAAAACTCTACTTTCAGCATTGTGTAGCCTCCAACGTGCGTGCAATCAAGCATTCTAAAAAAAAAAAAAAAAAAAAAAAAAAAAAAAAAAATTAATTACCCCATCAACCGGCCCGCAAAGCTGCTGTTTACACTTCAACTGTGGCAAAAAGAAACGAATCGTCTCTACTTCATTCTGTATCATTCTCCAACATTTGTGATATTGTACTGAAAATCTGGGCTATGAGCGCAGGGTAAAAGCACAATCAGCCACATATCGTAAATTATATGTCAATGTCCAATTATAGGTTGTGATATTCTGATACTATATCTTTCTTGCCACCTCACTAGCCGCCCAACATTCACCCCCTCCCCGTTCGCTTGGAGTTGTCACATATCCATCTCCCCGTACACCCAACTATTAATCCACCCCTCTCTGACACCTTTTCTGTCTGCTACTTGAAGCTACGCTGAAGCCAAAATCCCCGACTTTATACCCATAGTTTGATTAGCGAAGCAATAATTCAAGTAATGCCCGCAGAAGTAGCATCATCGTCGTGAGACCTTGAAAGCAATAAACATCAGAAAATGATGTAAAGATCGAGAAGAATATTTACAAGAATATTAAAGTTAAGTAAGCAGTATAGGGCTGGCGCTCAGGCCAAGGGGCGACCCTACAATAAAAAGGCAATCCGAATTAGCCAACTATCCCATTAACACCGCCGGTCCATCGCTAATCCGTTCTTCAAGAATTATGACTTCACGACTTCACCCCAGCAGCAGCAGCACTCTCCATCTCCAAATGCCTCACCTCCAGCTTCTCCTCATACGCGCCCAAAGTCCTCTCATCCACCTCCTCGGCAAACACATCCACATCGGTCGTCTTAAACTTCCTCGCACTAACGCCCCTCTCAAAAAGTAAATCCAGCTCCGCGAAACTGCGACCCATTGGTTCTGGAACCCGGAAGTACGTATACACAATACAGCAGAAGCAGATTGCCGCCCAGAAGAATCCTGCGAAATTGCCCCAGTCCCATTCGCCTGGGTTGAGCATGTAGGGAGTGAGCACGGAACAGATTATGCCGACGACGTTGTACAGGTTGCGGCCGAGGACGACGGTTTTGATTTGGAGGCGACGAGTGGACAATTCGGCGACGAGGGAATAGCAGACTGTGCCAACGGAGAGCTGGTAGAACAGCGCCCAGACTAACATGATGGATCCAGTAGCCAGCGAGCTCTGCTTACGATGGGCTTCAGGGACGAGGCCGAGGAAACCCATGATGAAAAGCATGGCACAGAGACCGCAGAGACCATACAAATAGAGAGCACGCCGACCGATTCCCCAGGACATGAGGAACCAGGCGCCGAAGACGCCGACCATGTTGATTCCGTATTGGCCAAGGGAGAAATCGAAGGCTTTGGAGGTCTCGAGACCAGCTTGTTGGAGGAAGTACGTGGAATAGCCGGAGAAGGAGTTTCCTGAGAGATTTTGGATTGCCCAGACCATGCAGACGATTTCGGTGCGCCGGCGGTCGGTGCCTTTGAAGCAGTCGAGATAAGTGGTGCCTTTGGTGATCTGGTTGTTGTTAGTGAGGCTACTTCAAAAAGGACTTCAGATTTTAGAGCTTGGGATATTTGTGATGATAAAAGGATATTTGGGGAGCAGTAAATTTACCTTCTCTTCCAAAGCTGTAGTATGAACCATCATACTAATCGTCTCATCAGCATCGAAGTCCGTCTCTTTATTCAAACTTGTCAATCTCAAAAGAGCCTTCTTCGCATCCTCAGTTCGGCCTTTACGGACAAGCCACCATGGTGATTCAGGAGCGAGAGCTACACCGATAAGAAGAGGAACGGGCCACATCCACTGAAGGCCGTAGGGGATGCGATAACTGTTGAATGTCAGTTTCGTTGCTTCAAGAGGCGGGTATGGGAAGAGGAAACGTACGCCCACTCGTCGTTACGAGGTAACATGGACTTGACAACTCCAATACCAATGACTTGTCCGAGACCCCAGCAGAAGTTTACGTAGGTGGTCAGGTAGCCACGGAGAGCGACGGGGCAGACTTCAGAAGCGTATGTAATGGTCACTAGACATTGAGTCAATAATAATATTCTCCATATCTCATATTCTGCAACCAAAGCTCACAAGTCTGGAAGACACCCCACGGCTGTGAAACATTAGCACCTGGTCTCCACATCTGAGAGAAAGATGGGAGGAAGAAGAGGAATAACTCACAATGCCACAAAGCACCTCCGCAACCTGTAAGTGCACAACCGTCTGCGCCGTGAAGAAAATAGCCGTGAAAGCAATAATCAGGGTAAGGCAAGTCATGACCGTATATCTATATCCGAAGCGTTCTGAGACGTAACCGTTAATGAAGAGACCGATAATTTCTCCTACATTGGCACCCTGTTTGGTCCGTCAGATTGTCATGTTGGGGAGGAAGGGGAAGACAAACGTTGCTGAGACCAGCTTGCCATGGAGCGGGGATCTGGTAATCTCCGTTGGGGAGTTGCTTGCCGTATTTGCGGTTGAATTGAGGGAAAGCGTCTGTGATGTTCGTTAGTCGAAGTCAACACTGCCTTCGACAACAGTCACTCCTTCCACCTGCTCTTCCCTCTCAATCGGAATGGATCCTCTCAATGACCAATTAACCAACCATCAAGTTCCATCGCGCTCCCTATGTATAAATACCTCCCACTTACAAAAGCTACTCAGCAAGCACAAATCATACCCCTCCATAACAATACAAGTACTGATCAGAACACTCCATCCCACTGCCTTCGGATACAGCTTCAGACCTTGCCACAAAGTCATAGAATGTTCCTTATCGGTAGCATTCCGCGCATTGTGGATAACTTCGTTCATGGATTTCGTGTGGTCGAAGTTGTCTTTAGGGGCAAAGTGCTCGGCAGGAGGAGAGGAGGAGGGGTCGATTGTGTCGGGTCTGGTGCTAGTGTTGGTGTCCATGGTCGATAGTCGGTAGTGTTCCTGAAAGATAGAGGATCTGGTGGTAGGAGCAATGGTGTAATGAAGGTTGAGAGAAAGAGCTTCGTAAATAGGTGAGGACAAAGCCCCTGTCGTCTACAGTTGGCAGTCCGTTGATTGATATACTGCGAGAGGGGCAGAGAGGACTGTTTCTAGACAGCTCAATGCAAAGCTACACAAGCAGCAGATCTTTTGATCTTCAGCCTTCCAGTCTCAATTCGTGAAAGCTCTCAAGAATGGGGTGCCTCGATGCACGAATTAGGACAGAGGTGCGTATGTGGAGGAGCCGCGCAGGGGATGATGGAGTGCAGTAGAAGAGGAGAAGAGTGAGGGGAAGAAGAGAAAAAAGCTCACATAAATCCGGGGAGTTGACCCCTCTTATTATGCCTACGTACAGTTAGTTCAATTGTGTATTTGCTGCTGTACGACCTGCATCCTTGACCTACTTGGATCTTCATTGCCAGTCCCTATGTAGTCTGGAAGTAGTTAATCTCTCCCTATGTGTCAACCCGGTTAGTCGACAACAAGTACCGAATATCCTTCTCATGGAATTGACTTCGTCTCCCCCGCCATCTCCTGCGCATGTCCCATCCATCTCTTGCCCCTTGACTGGTGCTCGAGTCGCCTCCTCCTACCCGCAGCTATCTCAGAATTTTTTACGTCGGTTGCCCCACTCCCCACTTCTCTTATCCGCATCAGAGTTCGAATTGGCCGAGTCTTGGCCCGAGAACAACAGACACCTGACAGCCATGAAGAACCGCATCAACACTTCAATCCAATCATATTTCGAACATTTCGAGATAGGGATGCAGCAGCGAATGGAACTGAATGCCTCGAACCCCAGCTTTTGCACCCCGCATCCGACGGTGATTATTGACGAAACAAAGGTGTATGGTGGCATGGACGCACGACAGGGGACCTTTGTACTGTACCTCCGTACACTGTACAGTACTACTGTAGCTTTGCAGTTGAGGATGATCCCGTCAATTGCCGACCGAGGGCTTGCGGTATGGCTTATGGCTTGCAGCCACACACGCACAGAGTCACCGTTTTCATGCTGGCTGTTCGGGAACTCAGAAGGTCATGGTCATATGAGGAGAGGATTGCATCCCGATGTTAAACACCTTCCTGTTGAGGTTAGATATCACGTGTGGTTCTGTTCATAGCTAGATGTGTCCAATCAGATGGCGTTTTCCAAGTCGATGAAGCTTCGGCTGGGCTCTGGGCTGGTTCTTGTTTTGACTGCAGCCGACTCCTTGGCTGGACATGAACTTGGCTTGGACAGGCCCAGTAAGTAAGTGAGGAGAATTTTGTGTTTCTTTGCAAGGACATGAGACGATAGATGTGAGCTGTTAAATAATTCAGTTTCGCGAAAGGTTGCCATTATTCATTGACAATGGTGCTGATGCAGCTGTCAAATGTGCGGTCTTCTCTCCGCACTTTGTTTTGGAAGTTCACGCCGGGTTTGACTCCCGATTTTGACTTTCCACCCCGCATTCCCCCAAGTTTACATGATATGTGCTCGAGACGAGTAGAGATGAGGGGCTCAAAGCCGTCCAGCCATGTCCAGTACACTTAAACTTGCGCCGTGCTTTTCCTTTTTTTGTGCATTCCTCACGGGGCTCTTGATCTGTCTTTTCGTCTAGACTTTCACCCCATGCTAAGTTCTAGAGCGGAGCTCTACTGACCTGCTGCAAATCACTCAATCGCCGATAATGCCTTCATTTGGGTGATCGTCCCGTTCCGTCGCACTGGAATTTCCCCCTGCACGGCTATTCATAGTTTCAACCCCAGTGGATTCAAGTGCAAGGATAACGCTAGCTGGCTGAGAGTTATCAAGTAGTTCGTTGGGTGTACTGAATGGACGCTGAGCTGGCCATGAGTACTGAAAGAAGATTTGGTTTAGGAAATAAAATATTGTCTGCTTGTCTGCAGACCTGGGAATAAGTCAAGTTTCGGTGAGTAGATAAAGGACATTTCTGGCTCGTGCCATCATGTGCTATATTTCCCATTCTTCTCGGCTTATCCAGATATAGATTGACTAGATTAGAGTCACTATCGCTCTCGCAGGCCTTCGAAAACTTCTGTAGATGAGACTTCTCTACTATGTGCTCCACCAAGCCCGCTCACTTCTTTAGGTTCCAGCGGAAGATTGCGCCAATCCTTCTAATACTCGTACGTCTTCTGTGGCTAGACACTCTGAAAGGCCTCCATCAAAATCGCCTCGTCATGATATTTTTCCGCCTCACTCACCACGTATCTCCAGTGTTCTCCAGCTCACACTACATCTTTTCGACTAAGTTCCCTCACGATGACTGACTGGTCATTGTCTCGACGGCACACGAATGAGTGATGCAGCCATCTCAGAATCTCCCCAGCCTGTATTCGCCTTTGGCTGGAGCTTTAGGTCCCATCTTAACGGGTTCGAGTTTCGAATATCGCAGTTTACTATCAGTGTTGAGAATTGAGAAAGAGCTGAAATCGGCCTTCATTGCTACTCTTGCAACTGGGACCTAATGCGCCTCTAAGAATCGAGACAAATCTGATGATAAAAGCTGACAAGAGGAGCCAAAAACGCCGTCAGAACATCTACAGAATAATGAACAAGGTCATCGACTAGGATGGTGAGGTCACAAACAGCATTCCAAGCAAAGGGTGCTCGTGACTCAGTTGATAACCTCTGCCGTCACTGTCAAACCTTCAACAAAATGGTCTCGATCGATACAGTAGTACTGTAAGGGCACGTGGCAATTGTCGGTATAGTACGAGTTAGGCGTATTCAGCTTGCGCTGAATATTGTGATCTTTTGGTCCCGTTAGTGGAGTTGGTGTGAGCTTAACCTCAGTATCATTACAAAAATTCATTTCACAACTTTCCTAATGTTGTCATGCTTGAATTATTTGAAAGCTGTCTTGTATTCTGGAACCTTGATAAAGAATGAAATTTGGCTACACTAAGCTCGAATCCCCTCCCGTCGGCTCCTTTGAGATCTGGAATTATGTCATACCAGGAACCGCCCAAACTTGAGATCTAGTGGAATACCGGATGCAAACCATCATCGCACCAACTCCAAATTGACGGGGCTTGTACCTGTCTGTACCTGACCCACACTTCCCTCTGATGTAAAGTGTACGTCCTCGTAATTGAACAACCGCATGGAGAAACATTCTTTTTTATCCTGCCTCCAAAGCGTCTACCTAGATCAGGCTCCTCACCTACCTTGCCTCTTCGGGATGTTTACATCGGATCCGTCCATCGCTTTCCTCCGCCCCACTTTTCCCTCGCTCCCTTCCGCCCAGTTCCACAAGTTCCGCTCCTGCCAAGCCTTATTCCCTCTTACTGTATCTCCCGCCGTCCGAATTATGGAACGCGGGACTACCCCGCTCACTATCCAACATTTTCCAATTCTCCATCCCTGTCTCTCCCGAGTCCAGACTCCAGACCTCTGGCTTGCAGGATGCGGAGGGTGGCGGATTAATTTCTTTTGGCTTTCAAGATAGGTGTACAGTGAGAAAGTGTGGTAGGAGATAGGTAGAGAGAGGGATACCTAATGGGGGAGAGGGAAGTAAAGGGTAAGCATGTATTTGTGTGGTACAGGTGGAGGGTGAGCTGATGGTATTTGGATGGGACGGGGGATGCGATGCGACTCGATATTATGAGGTAGATTGTGTCCACAGAGTGCCGCCCAGGATATTTAATGAATCACATGTATGCTTCAAATGATCATGTCAGCTTACAAGCGCTCCTGATGCGGACATAGCCAACTGGGAGCTCTTCTCATCCACGCAGATAGGTATTTAGGTATTGAGACCAACGGAAGGGTAATGAATCCATGGAATGATTGGTATGCATTCCTATTTCGATTTGATATTCTGTAATCCGATATAAGAACAAGTTCTTCCCATTCCCATTCCCATCCCATCCCAAAACCTTCCCAAACCCTTCCCAAAACCAAGCCAAGCCAAATCAATCAACACACCAATCAAACCGAACCAGATCCAGCCTAGACTCCTCATTCCCATTTACAGTACTGTGGCTTTTTGTTGTGGGTATGTGTGTAAGTAGTGTCATCTGGGGGTGTTTTGTTTTGTGTTGAGTTTGTTTGCCGAAAGAGACACAAACTCTCACAACTGCTAACAAACAATTTTGCTTTCCTTTCCTTTCATCTTTTGGTCTTGTCGACCGATCGTTATGATTCTCCCCACACACAGCTGAGTGCATTGTTGCATCGAATTGTATCCATTTTGTATCTCGACCCGCCAGCTTGCTTGTTTTGCTGTCTTGATATCCACCTCCCTTTACACCCACGTCCAAACCATCCAATGCAGCCCTGGATTGAGATCACACCAGCCAGCCAGACCCTAGAGCGCACACTTGGAAAACAAGGATTTGAGAATTGAACAGAACAGAACTGAGCAGAACTGAACGAGAAATACTGGCTGCTGCTACTGATTGCAAGCGCAGAAGTTGATATATCCACCACGACCACTACAGATCCCCTTGCACGAGAATATGCACGACACACCCTACCATGAACTAACAGCCACTTTGAAAAAAGAGAAGGAGACAACAGGAAGCCAAAGAAAATGCATAGGATCAACGACACAAACACAGACGAATCAACGCAGAGCCACGCGCCAAATAAGGAGAATCGTATAATATGTTCATGCGTCAATCATAAAGGAGTGTAAGGTAAGGTATACCGGCCTCCGCTTTCTTCCCATCCCTGCCATTCCATTCCGATCTCCCGATCTAATCCCTCTTCCTCCCTTTCAAGTAACCCAACTCAAAGGATAGACCAGACAATACGTACTGCCAGGATTTGACTAAACCAAATTACAACAGACTAATTCGACTTGAGCGAAACGGAAACAAACAGGAAGTACGAACGAACAAAACGCCATGCTGGGACTTGTTAGCCCTAACAGAATTAAATGGAGCAAAACGCCAAGTACCCCAGACTCGGCAGCTGAAGTGCGTATGCGGAAGGAAAATTTTGAGGAAAGAGGGTCCGGATAAGGTCCATGAAGGGCTTTTGTGTTGACGTGTACCGGGAGGTAATGAGAGATGTAGTGCGACGAGAGGAGATAATCGTTAATGCACGAATGAAGTGCTGTCAAAATCCGATCAAAGCTCGGGGCAATGACTCGTACCGGGGCTGAGACCCACTCGTCCGTCCAACTACCGTTTTCTCTTCTTGCTCTTATCTGGGCTGCCTTGACCGCCAGCTGTCGCTGTCGGCGGCAAGAAGCCCATCTCCACTGTAAGGTCATCCTTCTTGACGGGTACACCCATGTGTCGTCCATACCGGCCCTTGCGACCATTGCCCTCGTCCTCACTGACGCATTGGTCTGCGCTGAGGCCGGCATCTTTGCATCGCTGGCAAGGGCGCTGACGGTCGCAACCCTTCTTACTCTTGCGGCATCGCTGACAGCGGGGCTTGGATGAAAGATCCTCTTCATCTTCACCGAGCTGATTCTGGAAATTTAGTGCAGATGCATTGGAGGTCTTGCGCGATTGCGAAGGCAAGGATGTTGGAGAGATTGGCTTGGCGCTGGTTGGAGCACTGACTGACTTCTTTGACTTGACCTGGCCTGGACGTGAGGTCTTCAATTTTGACTTGACCTTAACTCCAGATGCGCTTGTCCGGGGCTTGCCCATTATCGGTACACTCTTAGACTTGGACCCCTTATGCTTGTCATCCACATCCATGGGGTCATCTTTGAAACCAGGCTTGAATGTTTCGTCACGGCCATCTTCGTAGTCACCCTCGTCTCCACTTGGTTCTGTGCTATCTTGGCTGGGCAAGATATCATCCAAGTGTTGGCGGAACTTCTTTACGTGACCGGGTGGAAGAATTGGGCTGGCTTCACGCTTCATGCGACGTGGAGGTGGAAGCTCAGGCTCACTCTCACTCTCACTATCAGAAGTAGCTCCTGTGGAGGAAGCAGCATCTGCCTTGCCGCTGAATGTGTCGTCAAGCGTGGAGGCGGAAGTGCGTCCGTGGGAGATATTTGACATCTCGCCCAATCTCATCAATTGAAGTGCTACATCCTTGTCCTCCTCAGAAACACAACTGCCAACAGTTGGATCTGGTGTAGGAAGTATACCGGAGCTGTTGCCGCCAGGTGTGCTGCCAATTGATTGGCGGTTTGGTGGGTATCCTGCAGCTCCTCTTGTGCGACGACCTGGGGCCGGTGTAGTGTACATCCCAGGTTGACCAAAACCATTGCTGTAACTCTGCGGTGATTGCAGAGGCTGTGGGTTCGAGAACGGGTTGTGTGAAGGGTTGGTAAAGGGAAATGCTGATCGCTGATGCTCCATGCGACGAGCGGGTGAAACGGAAGAGTTCGAAGTGGCAGCTGGCATTTGCGGAGGAGCAAACAAAGGTAATTCCTAGAGACATTAGATTAGTACTCGATTCCAGCAGGCAGTCGATCGAGGGAGAATGAAGCGACATACTGAGCTCTCAAATTTCGCTCGCTTGCGTCTCCCACCCTCCACAATATTGTCCAAACTGATCTCTGTGTTTCCAATGTGCTCACTTTTTGTTCTGCTAGAAACCGAGCCAGGTGCTCCATCTCCGCTGCTGTATCCGTTCAAGCCATCACTGTGATTGTCTGCAAAGCTGCCATGTGCGCTCGATCCTCTGCTCTTGAAGCCCGATCGCGATCGGCTCTTCTTCATGGGTGGCGGGTTTGTGCTAGCAGATGCGCTTCGACGACCACGACCTTGACCGCCATTTGGAGAGATACTGCGCTTTCTAGAAGTCCTCGAGGTTGGTCTGGAGAGAGGCTGACCATAACTAAGCGCTTGTGCTGGTTGGGGAGGAGGCATGTGGTGACCATCGCCAGGATAGTACGCCTGCTGCATAATTGGTGAGCCAGAGTGATATGATGCTGGACCATATGCGCTAGCTCCTGGTGCTGGCTCCTCAATTACTCGAACATATACGACCATGTTGTTTCGCAGGTTCTCGTATCGTGCAATGAGAGTGTTTCCTTGATCATCCTCAAAACTGACCCCTTTGGCACCGCCAGGACCAGCATAGAGGCCATAGAAATTCTTGACTGTTGTTACAATCGAGTCTGTGGTATCATGTGGAAAAATTTGGACCCTCATGGGTAGTCGCGCACGATATTGGGGTGAATCGGGGAAAAGGAGCTCGAATGCGACACTCTTGGGTGTTGGACTTCCAAATGGCGACATGCTTGTAGAGTGTGGGGTTGTTGTACTGGATTGAGCAGCCCCATAGAGAGCTGGTGGTGTAGCCATTCTCTGGTTGCCAGTTCCCACGTCCATGCCTGTCATTGTGTTCCGGGTCGGATACGAATGAGTCGAAGGAGGAGCGTCGGCGCCGAGAAAAGGAATTTGTGCGTTTGAGGATTCTGAGCCAGAAAGAAGATTGGGAAGTTCCATTCCCTTGCAAGCAGAATATTTCTCGGACGATTGCAGTCACTGGTTGTGAAATGATCGCTGTGGGTTGAGGTGGGAAGGTTGTGTGCTGGCGGATGGGGCCGGTTGTCGCAAATGTAGGGGGACGAAGCTGGACAGAACGACTGTGGTACGAAATCTCGAACTGAATAGAAAATGTGGTCAGTATGCTTGAGGATATGCTTGGGTATGATACTAAAGAAAGATTTGATGGAAGGTAGGAGGAAATGATGGGATTGTGGAGTGCGCGGCATTCCCTGGCGCTTCGGGGCTGATCAAGGAGGAGAGCAGCAGACCCAGCAGGAGAGCAAGGTCTCATGGGATATAAAACAGTGCGATTCCTTGATCGCATACGATGTAATATTGAAAACAACTTACAGCTGGTCGAAAGGGATGCCGTTAGGGGTCTATCATGCAGACATTGGGATTCGGCGGTCGTTCAATCGATCGAGAACCTGCGACAAGCAGACAGTATTAGCAGATGAATCGGAGAGAAATTCAGCCCTTTTATAGATGAAGATGGTCTACCAGATGATGATCGATGGTTTAAAAGACTTACAAGTAAGTTGTTGGCGTTCGTTCTGCGTTCCTCGAGCCTTGAGATGGTTGTGAGTGAGAGATGGAGGTCTAGCTGGCTAGGAAGCGGAGAAGTAGGATGGCCCACGCTTCACACGAGGTTATGCTATGCACACACTAACAATACACATCATAACTCTCCCAACTACATATTTTAAAGAATGTGATTTCAATAGTCTCGAAAATCGTTTGAATATACATCATTTCTCTAGAGATATCTAATGTGCTGCAATTTTAGACTTCCATGTCTGTGTATCATCCTGTGCCTCAATTCGCATCCTCATCCCACCGTATGTCCTAATAAGGTACATCGACTAAAGACGAGGAAAAAAAACAATACAAATATCAGAGCCAAACCCAGATTTCTTTATCACTCTGCGCATGCTTTCTCAGCTCAAGCATGGAGACATTTGTGAGAAAAAGCCTCGTTGGCCGAGTCTTCCCGTGGATCCCGTCTTCGGAGGAGTTCTCGCTGTGTTAGAAACAGCACCAGATATCAGACCAGCTAGATGTGTTTACGAGACTCTGAGAGAAGCGGGATGCGATCAGATTCCCCGAGCGCATGCGACTTCGTCTGGCGTTCTTTACTGGATAGCGTAGTTACTCCAAAGTACAGCACGAATAACCCGTGCCTGTGCTCCAATCTGGAAGGATGCAATAAAGCTGGTCGAGACATCTCAGAAAGCAGTGGCCAAGTGCTTGATTGAGAGCGATCCGCAACCAATGATGGCATACGCCAACGTCTGAATCAGGGATGTGGTGAGGAGGGACATCGATGTAACGAGGAACGCTCAAATGCAATCGTTTGAATGTCTGGAAGTAATCCGAAGCTTTTAAGTGCAGCCAGTCAAGTCAATCCAGGATTGCTGGTCGTGTCCCAGGCAGACCCGCTGGCCATAAAGGTACCGTATGGTATTGGAAGATGCGACCCTATCAGGCGCCGAGGCTAGCTTGGTCTGCTGTTGAGGTATCGGTGAGTTGCAGCTGCAATTATCAAGTGCGCCTCCAGGATGCTGATGCGTACAATATGCGCTGGCTAGGCCGGTGGTTTCAAGTAATCGTTATGCTTGCTTGCTTGGATCTTGTAGGCTGTAAGGCCTGGCAAGTCTACCCTACCCGTAGTGCAATAGTTGGGCGGTGCCGAGACAGGCAAATGGTTCCAGCCATGATGAAGAGGGGTTGCTTCGATTTTCTGGTAGTTTCTGTTTCGGTGCTCATGACTGGTGGATCTGCGATGCAGCTATTAGTCGGCATGAGGGCTTTGTCGAAGTGTGACGGCCAAGGATGCAGAGGCGAGCAGAGAAGAGCAATTGATCATGAGTGGAGTGGATGCTTGTGATCACAGAAGTTGGAGCTGAAGCGAACACCGTCTTTCGACTTCGATTCGGGCTCATTTCCTGGTACGGTCCCTGTGTACCTTGTGACATGTACCGCGATCGATTGTTGTGGTTGCTCTACAGGGTTGTGGTTTGGGTTTTAGATATTGGTGGGCTGTTGGTGGTCACTCTCCTCTGCTCACCCAGCCAAACTCTTGACTTGATGACGACGACCCAATGGGCTATTGCAGCATCCACAACTTCGGACAGGTCGCTGGCCGGCAGTCCTGGGACCTCGACTACTTTTCGCGCAGGTCCGTAAACAAAGGAGGCTGGTCGCGCCCTTTCTTATTTCTAATTTCTCACAGGCAGCTGATGCCGATGTGCTGATAGGACATGTGGTGTGCGCCATAAGCGCAAGAACCCTCAGATTCTGGTAAATCAGCACTGGATGACGAGCCAGCCAGGTACAAAGCGCGGTTTGATTGCGACCGCCAATGGCTGCATTGCTTGACATCCTCCAGTATCTTCGGGAAGCTAAACAGAGAATTTAGGGTGGAAGGATGTGATAATCAAGGATGGGAAAGCGAATAGAGAGATAGATGCTCAAGCCCCCCATTCCATCGTTCGGGGCACTGCTGGGCTCGGCTTTGGCTGAGAGATAGCTGCTTTCCTGACAAGCCGTGTTCCGAGCGGCTAAGTCTTCTAGTCAATCGAACACGAACATGAACTCAGCAGATGAAGCGAATTGACTCAAAACAAGCACAACGTTGAATATCGGTGCAATTGCACTTGGATCTGGATGAATGAGGATGAGAAAGCGGAGAAACTGAAGAGTTCACTATAGTCATGTGACAGGGCGTCATTGCATTTCGCGCATCCCTGTCGATGCAACAATTCATGAACAAAGAGCGCAATTCCATACAACATTCAGAACACAATTCAAACTATATGCAAGCTCTTGTTAGCATATCTAGGAATAGTTTCCAAAAGGCCGCATGTTAAATAAAACCCATTTGGAGATTTTATCGCAGAATATCAAAAATGCAGTGTTGTTGTTGACGCGCAGAGAAGACGCGAAGCGAGCAGAGCTCGGACCAGACGGGTGACATAAGCACGCACGATCCACAGCAACACCCCGGTCGGTTTGTTGTTGTTACCACGGCAGCCACGAATGGAATTGGCCCATGCCTTTCCAATTCAATAAGGTATCTTGTGTTCTGCTCCACTCCACATTCATCCCGTCCTCCATCAACACAACACAACACAACAACATCCTCTCCTCCCTCCTCTCCACCTCGACTCTTCTTCACCACAATCTCCGTCGCCATCCCATACCATCACCACTTCTCATGGGAGGCTTGTGATCTGCATCGTACTATCAGGAGTACCGCGCAGCTCTGCTAACACGAGTCTATCTCGAGCTACCTCCGACATTCTCGAACCCCTATGAATTTTGGGACGCGATATTTGCCACACACCCATCGAGCATCTTTGCAGCAACATTGCCCTACAATTCCAACTAGCTTTTGGTCATTTGCTATTCTAATTCACTTTGCATAGCTACGCCATGAACGCGCAAGTAAGTTTTGTCGATCTTGTTATTGTTCGTTCACCTCTTGGCACAAGGCACCTCGAGAACTCGCGCTTGATCTCCGCCACATTCTTCACCCATTGCCTTGACAACTTCCCTTCCACGTTAGATCTCTTCTGCGCCAACACACAACTAACATATATTCCCCCTCTAGCCGCAGCGTCCTGGCCAGAAGGGTCGAGTTCAAGTCGACGAGAATACAGCTCCGATCCAATCAAAACAAACCCTCCACCAGCGACACAAGTCCACAGGAGCACTCAACAATATGCATCCAGCCGGCGGAAATAAGGGCGAGCCCAAGAGAAAGGCCTTCGGCGATGTCAGCAACACGGTCAGAGCTCCAGTTGTCCATGATGACTCCGCCATCCCATCCAAACAGATCCATGAAATCTTCAAGCCTATTATTCCCCTCGACACAAAGCCTACCCTCCTCCGCCCTGCACAACGCCCCCTTAATACTGCTGCATCTAAGATCGCCTTAAATACCACAACCTCTGCCGACCCCATCTCCAATCCTATTACTTCAAAGGTCCCTCTCTCGGACACCCGACAGCTTCCTGCTCCCCCGAAGCGCACTCTTTCGAAGAAGGCTACAACAATCTACAAGGACGAGGATTCAGAGAATGTAGCCCCTCAAATTAATGTCAAGACAGTTGCTAGACAAGATGTCTCGGTTATTGCACCGGTCCACCAGTCCTTGGAGACTCGCAAGAGCCATGCTCAAATGCAACAAGCTCCTCAGGCTGCACGCAATATGGTGCCCAGCTACCCATCAGTATCTGACAACAACACCAGTGATGCAGTCTACCAGGATGCTGCAGAGAGCCAGGTCGGAGGTGCTATTGAGCAATATGTAGCTTATGAGGAAGTCCGCGCATCAGCAGTTGTTCTCGACCCATACGCTGCTGGTACCTATAGAGAGCAGCGCAAGCTTCCAGCTCTTCCAGAACCGGAGGAATACTGGGAGGATGACGAGGAAGAGGTCTATGATGAGCAAGGGTACACCACTGCACACTCATTTCGAAGCCGAGGAGATACAACTGGAGGTGTTACCACCGTCCTTGCTCCCAAGGTTACTCTCAATGTTCGCAGAGAGCTTGCAGCTGCCAAGCATGCTGTAGAGAGCGCTCGCACTATGGAGGAGATTGAGGATGAGGCTTGGGATACCAGTATGGTGGCCGAGTATGGTGACGAGATCTTCGCATACATGCGTGAGCTTGAGGTAAGACACGCACCAAACTTCTCCCCTTGCACCCTTGCCCTGGTAAACGCGTCCCTGTGTAGCCAAGGCCTGTTATGTGACCACCCTTGGCCATTAATGGCGCCTTTGTTTACCTCAGTCCTCGCACTGTTTGTGTTCCTTGGATCAAAGCTAACCAGTCTTTCGCGTCAGAACAAGATGCTTCCTAACGCCAATTACATGGATACCCAGACCGAGATTCAGTGGTCCATGCGGTCCGTCCTCATGGACTGGCTGATTCAGGTCCATCATCGCTTCTCCCTCCTCCCAGAGACTTTGTTCCTCTGTGTCAACTACATTGACCGCTTCCTATCCTGCAAGATTGTCTCCTTAGGCAAGTTGCAGTTGGTTGGTGCCACCGCTATCTTCGTTGCTGCAAAATACGAGGAGATCAACTGTCCTTCTGTAAATGAGATCGTCTACATGGTAGATGGAGGTTACACGGTTGATGAGATCTTGAAGGCCGAACGATTCATGCTCAGTATGTTGCAATTTGAGCTTGGATGGCCCGGACCAATGAGTTTTCTTCGACGTATTAGCAAGGCGGATGATTATGATTTGGAAACTCGAACCTTAGCGAAATACTTCCTAGAAGTGACTGTCATGGACGAACGCTTCGTCGGCAGCCCCCCCAGCTATGTCGCTGCTGGTGCCCACTGCTTTGCCCGTACCATGTTGAAGAAGGGTGACTGGGTGAGCATTTTCGTTCTTCTATCCTCAGAGCTATAACTAACACTTCACAGTCCCCAGCCCACGTGTACTACTCCGGATATACTTGGACACAGCTCAAGCCCATCGTTTCTATGATGATGGAGTGCTGCGAGAACCCCCTCAAGCACCATGCTGCTGTTTTTGACAAATACTCGGATCGCCGATACAAGCGCGCCTCCCAGTTCGTTCAGGCAGAAATGGCCAAGGGCTTCCGTCTTCCGGCGATGTACTCACGTCCATCCCTTCCTTCCCGTCAGGACTTTGATCGGGATCCTTTCTTCCAACGTTAGGAAATGCTTGTCTCTCAGAGATGAACTTCATCCTCGTTTACCCTTCTCTGTATATTTTTGGACCAGATATCGATTTTTTCCCTATCGACCATCAGATTGGCATAGGCTGCTTGACTGTATCTGGATCCGGACCTACAGAGCAAAAGCCATGGGTATTTCCCTTCCAGATTCTCGATTCCACATGCCCTTTACTTCTTGGAACTCGCCTTCGAGATCCGAAACGATCATTTCGTCCCCCAAAAGCATTCTGCATTTCCAGCGTCACGATACCACGATGAGACGAGACCACGACCTTCCCTTTCTGCTTCATCGCTCACCTGCTTGTGGGCTTGGGGGTAATGGTGAAAATAGAGAGCAGAGCGCTTGCTCGGTTAATGCATTGCCTTTGTTCCTTCCCTTCTGCGAGAAATACCGTGTAATTGCCAGACGCTTTCTTTGATCTCTGGATGTCCGGCGTTCCCGGGCGTCCAAAGGAGTGTAGGGAAGTGTGCATACTAATTAGAGTAGAGGTTAATAATACTTCTATAGATACATCTCTTCCCATCCTTCTGTGAGGTGTGATGGCATATTGCGGTAGCCCGCTTTTTGAAGGCTATTGTAATGCTCTCTGAAAAATCGTTCTTCCCTATTGCATGCCATCCCACCGCCAGTAACAACGCGCCACTTGAGCTCATCCTGATCATACTATCCAATAACTCGTATTTTGTTGCCAAGCCCTATTGTTCAGCTATTCTGGTCTGGTAAGATATTCAACAGTGTATGCTTTGCACGCGAAATAGAAGAAGCTACACAGCTCTGATTTTCTTGAATTGTATCTTGATGATTCACCAAACAATCCCCAAACACAGTTCTCGGAAATGCTTGTTTCATTGGCTCGCATGTTCGGATGGCATTTCAGGGGCTCGGCAGCGGAGCGGATCATTTCTTGGCCGAGCCATACGGCACAGCAGCCAATCTTATCGACCACCGATCCTGCCTAGTGGCTAAGGGGGCCAAAAGAACAAGGAAGGTCTTCCGACTTAATTCCGACAGAGACAAATTTCTCTCATCCAAAGCTAGCAGTCACCAGCACAAGCCAGGGAGGACTGCACCACAGAGCTCATGAAAAAGACACTCAGACGATTACCCCGACTTTCCCCAGATTCAATACGCTTTAAAATACACGGATACAGGTTCCAAGGAGCCAGATCCAGCTAGAGCGCTCAATTGGCGCATCCTGTGGATTTTAATAACCTTGCTTTTTGCGCCGCCGCCGTCGGCCAATTGACCCATTTTTCAGTCTTTAAGCAGCCACCAAAACTTCTTTCTTGTCAGTATTGGAACCCACAGTCTTCTACCTAAGTTGAAGCCACCCGGTTGAGCTTGACACCTTGGAGAGTCTGGAAACGTCAGGATGGCGGATCTCTCGACAGCGAAGGAGGTGGTGAAAGAGGCCCTCCTCGGCACAGAAGTCCACGCCCAATTATCGGCGCAGTCCAAGGACATATTTGACAAAAACGCGAAGAAGGATGAGAGTACTGGCGAGCTGTACATGGGCGAGGAGGAGTTCATTAACGCGGTTGCGCCGCCGAAGGAGGATTACGTGAGTTCGCCGTTCGCCCACGTTGTACCTTCTACGAAAAGCAAGTGACTGATGAGACATTTGTGGATATAGCATAAGATCAAACGCGAACAATATGCCATTCTATTCAAAGTCGCTGACAGGAAGAATACGGGCAAGATCAACCTCCTTGACTGGGGGACTTTCGAGAACCTCCTCGCAAAACCAGACGCCGAGTACGAAATTGCCTTCCGGTTATTCGATGTCGACCAGACCGGAACCGTCAAGTATGATGACTTGAAGAAGCTGTACGAGATGAACAAGGGACCGGATAGCATACCGTTTGACTGGAATTGCGAATGGGCGACTCTTTACAGTGGAGGGAAGAAGCGACGACATGATCTTACATATCCCCAATTCTCACAGATGCTTCGAGGGCTACAAGGAGAGAGGATACGACAAGCCTTCCACTACTTCGATAAGGACGGAGACGGATATATAGAACCTGAGCAGTTCCAACGCATCATCCTCCAAACGTCGCGACACAAGCTTTCAGATCATCTCTTGGAGAACCTCCACACACTCTGCAACATCTCGACCGGCAGCAAGATATCGTACGCCAATGTTCGTGCTTTCCAGAACATTATCAGGGAGATGGACCTCGTGGAGATGATCATTCGACAAGCCACGGCGCAAAGTACAGATGGCAAGATCACACGTACGGAGTTCCTCAATGAAGCCGCGCGCATAACTCGTTTCTCCCTCTTTACTCCGATGGAGGCAGACATCCTTTTCCACTTTGCCAGTCTCGACGAGCCATCTGGACGACTTGGCCTCTCCGATTTTGCGAAGGTCCTCGACGCTTCATGGCGTAACCCGCTCTACAACGCTTTCGCAGAGGCTGGAAGTGCGAATGTGGCAAAAGTCAAGGCAGCCGGCCAAGGCTTCCTACACAACGTCTTGGAGTCAGCACATCATTTCGCTCTGGGTTCATTGGCTGGTGCGTTTGGTGCGTTCATGGTGTATCCAATTGATCTGGTCAAAACCCGAATGCAAAACCAGCGATCATCACGAGTAGGAGAGATGTTGTATAAAAATTCTCTCGATTGCGCCAAGAAGGTAATCAAGAACGAGGGTTTCAAGGGCTTGTATTCTGGTGTCTTGCCTCAACTTGTTGGTGTCGCTCCCGAAAAGGCTATCAAGTTGACTGTCAACGATCTCGTTCGAGGACATTTCTCCGGCAAAGACGGATCAATTAGAATTCCTCATGAGATTCTAGCCGGTGGAAGTGCAGGTGCATGCCAAGTCGTACGTTTTCCCCCAAACTCTATTTACCTCATCCTCGCTAACCACCCATCTCTTCAAAACAGATCTTCACCAACCCCCTCGAAATCGTCAAAATCCGTCTCCAAGTCCAAGGCGAAGTCGCCAAGTCCGTCGATGGCGCCCGCCGCCGCTCAGCAATGTGGATCGTCCGCAACCTCGGTCTCGTCGGCCTTTACAAAGGCGCCTCCGCCTGCCTCCTCCGCGATGTCCCCTTCTCAGCCATCTACTTCCCTACCTACAACCACCTCAAGCGCGACTACTTCGGCGAATCACAGACCAAATCTCTCGGTATCCTGCAACTCCTCACCGCGGGAGCAATAGCCGGCATGCCTGCCGCCTATCTCACTACTCCTTGCGATGTCATCAAAACCCGTCTCCAAGTCGAAGCCAGGAAGGGTGAATCGTCATACACGTCGCTCAGACAATGTGCGCAAACTGTCTTCCGCGAGGAAGGATTCAAAGCGTTCTTCAAAGGCGGACCAGCTCGTATCCTGCGCTCGAGTCCTCAATTCGGATTCACGCTTGCCGGATACGAAGTCCTGCAGGGCTTACTCCCTATGCCTGGCTCGACGGCGAAAGAGGCGCCGCATATGGGCGTTGGGTCTGCGAGTTCGAGCGCGGCACTACAAGGCCAGGAAGGGCCTCTGAGTTATTTAAGGAGTAGGAATGCGTTGAAGATTATTCTGGATTTGGATGGGGAGTTTGGACGCCCTGGGGCTGGATTGCCCGGGAAGGAGAAGTGGAAGATGCTGCCGAAGATTGTGGGAGGTGGTGGTGGGGTTGCGAATTCGTAGGGACAGGCGTGAGGTCAATTAGAACGAGAAGACTGCGAGTTGAGTCGAGTAGGAGGTGTGGTGGAGGTGGGAGAGGTTGTGAAGCAGACCCAGCGTTGGGTGGACAGCCGAGATATGTGGGCCGTTGACCGTTCGCAACCGGCAGTATGGTGGCGGCATCTGGAGTACAGTTGGAATAAAGACAGATCAGCTCGGAGAAAGGTAGACAGGCTGCAGAGTGGGATCGTATATGCATAGGACGGGCTTGTCACTAGGCAGGTAATCTGGCGTTTTTCGGGTTCTGCTTATTTTATTTCTCCTATTTTAGCCACTAGTACTTACGGCACTGTCCTTGCACCCGTGTGCAAAAGTATGGGTACCCCTTCTTATCTTCTGTAGCTATTGTAGAGTAGAATTGAGTAGAATATACGCACGCATGGTAGGCTTGGTAGAGGATAGGATAAGATGTTAGAGATGGAACAGGAGTAATGAACATTTACTTACAACAACGTCAAGTGCACTCTATCCCTGTGAATGATGGATCATTTCCCATTTTCAACAACAAAACCACATATAAACTCATGAAAAATCGTACTCGTTGAGCTTCAGCTTAAGCTTGAATAAGAGGACTTGTAAGTAAATGAACCATCGATGGTTATTGGCAAGAGAGTGGAGTGGTTATTTAGGCAGAGTTTTATCTAGCGAATTTCCCAGCAAGTAGTTCTCGAGCTTTGAGTACTGAGAACGGCTCAACAGCCTCGTGTAATCTTCCAACGACTTATAGATAATTCTATAGAGCGCAACAAAGTGATTCAAGTCTGCGTACGAAAGACTTCAAGGGTTTGGAATGGCACTCCCGGAGCTCACGATCAGGATTCGGATGTCTTAAAGACAGATTTGCCGAGACTTGCTATCCTGCCAAATAGAAATTTGTTCCTCGTAGGTCCTACGTGGGAGGAAGGAGTTGGTAAAGCGGTCCAGAAGTAGGAGCACCTCTCCAACTCGAAGTAAACAATCGTCAAGCACGTATCGCTATCGCGAGCAAACATGTCTCGCGAACACTTTTCTAGCTTAATGAAGTCCGGAAGTGTCAAGGAAGCAGCGATGATCTGCCTGCACGGAGGTTCTACGCGTTCTATGATCTCTCTGCAGCAAGATCCTACTACTGCATTACTGTAGCCAAAAAAAAAAAATTTCCTTTAAAGGATAGGCCACTAGCGTACTAGCAGGATCATAGTTCTCTCTATCGCAGTATGCTTTGAGACTGATACATCTGATGTAGGTTGTCCACCACGGAGCTAACTTCTATCAAGACATTGAGATCTTTTCACATTGCCCTAGCACCTTCAATTGATTGGCGGGTGATCTCGCAACTATTAATTTCGAAGGGCATGGTGCTGACTTCGAATCTTCCGACCCCGCGTAAAAGTCCAAGAGATCAGACTTCATCCTCAAACGCGAAGACTTTTTCGTCACTCGAGTTAGCGCCGCAAATTCAATATCACGTCAATGGATGTTGCCGGAGAGCGTGCAGGTTGGGGACAGAAACAAGCAATGCAGTGAGGCAGATCGTATACCTGTAGTCCACGACGTACGAACGACATCATCCTCCAGCAGCGATTTTGTCTCACAGCGGAATTGCTGAAGTTTGCTGGCTTCATGCCCATGCTCCCAACCCCATTCTCTGTAGTGCTCATAGACTCATATGTTGTGATGATCGGGCTTGGAGTGCAGGAGAGACCACATCTTCCTGAACTCAGCAATGAATATGTTCAGGGCATATAGGGTATTCGAAGCATTTGTGTTTATTTGCCGGCAAGTTCTCGAAATTTCTTGAAGTCCATTTCGCAAATTTGCCGATAACATATACAGATCACGGTGACAGGCCGTGTCATGTTAGGCGAGTTCCTCATTACAGAGAAAGACGCTGTCGATCACGTTTCGGACTGCCAGTGGAAGAAAGTCCTAGAAAGCTGCATCTGACCGACTCTTTATAAATAAGTGCGTTGGACAGCCTTGCTCGCCACTGTGGTTATGAATGGTTTCGGTATGGCTTCCCTGGTTTGCCTACCATCACTGCATCAGGTCGGGGGATGGCCCTCGATGACAGGCCTGCGACTTATTGAGAGGTATCTTCGTTCATGTGTGGTGAAGATATCATGGATGAGTATGTCACTGATCTCGAGGACTTCTTGAATTGTAGGTCTAGTCAAAGGTCAGGTATCGTGGATCAGCTTGAAGATCTCGGGCTTTGTTGACACGCCGTTTCTCGAAGGACGGCACAGTAAGCAGGTTGTGGAGGGCCGTACAACTGTAAACACCGAACTGTGGTGTTTTGAAGTGACGATATAGAGGCAAATTGAGAGTGTCGTTGCTGTTGCTCTTTTTTGTGGCGTCTGCTGTTGATCTGCAAAGAAAACCTCGAGTGTTTACCTTACTTATGCCAAGGCTGTAAGCGAAGTATGCTAGCATTCACAAATTGCAACCAACAGCAGATAGTCGACCGGGTAGAGTATAATAAAGGATATGCTCCTTCAATCTTGTTCTACATGAATATTGTGATTCCGTGAGATTAAGTTATAACTTAATGTACTCGATTTGGCCGCTGCTGCCATTATTCATCTGAACCACAAACTGTAAAGAAAGAACTTGGTTCAATCACGCCAACAACCCAGGTATAGAACTTATGTGTACGCAAAGCCTAGGCTGTGTCAAAAGGATAAACGGTCATCTTATGAATAATAATGAAATAAAAGTGACAGGCATGAAAAGAGCAGGTCGAGTTGTTACTTCGTAGACAGTTTGATGTCCGGAGCGGATTAATGTTTCGCCAGCTCTCCTCCAATCAGTCACCAGTGGGTCCTTCAAGGCTGAAAAAGTTGTCCCCCACCATCTGAAAGCCTCGAGCTGATCTCATCCGCCACACCACGATTCTCACTCACCTTGTGAGGCACTCCACTGTCCATCAATGCGGTGACATTCAATTTGCGAAACCGCACAAATCAAAGTACTGCAATGCCTCCAAAATCTGCAAGCAGAGCACCCGCCCGCCGGGGTCGTGCAAAGGCAGTTCGAGGTGGAAAGGCTGGAGATGCGGCACCTGATTCTGTGAGCTCTCCCGCTCTAAAAGAAGAGCCGCTAGGTGCAGAAGATCAGGCAGATCAATCTGTGGCTGGAACATCCTCTTCGCAAGCACCGGCTGCCTTGGTCTCCACTCCGCAACTCAGCGAAGATGGCGTTTCGCCCAATTCCTCACCAGCGACAGTTCCTACCGAAACACCTGCACCCACACCCGCGCGCCCAGCCCATGCCCCTATACTTCCTCGAACTGCACCTCCTTTGAAGATGGACCCAGATGCTCCTTCTACAAGCGCTGCGAGCACCGAGCCTAGTACACAGCCTTCGGTCAGAGGTGGACCGTCAACAAGAGGCGGTAGGGGTGGAGCTAGAGGAGGTCCAAAGGCACCTAGCAAGTTCAAGCCAAAGGCTGTTCGAAGTGATGCATCGAAGCGTGCTGAGCTTGCACAGAAGGAACAAGAGCGTTTGGCTGGGCTTGCGGCCTGCGCGGCGAAGGCAGAGGCCAGAGCAAATAGAGGTAGAGGTAGACCTGCAAGGGGACGAGGGGACGTAATGGGCAGGCCTGCTATGAGTAGAGGAAGTGGAGGCGGGTCTGGAATCTTTGGGGCTCTACCGGAGTCTATAAGTGAGCTCATACTTCCAATTAACTTACGACAGTACTGACTGTCTTCCAGAAAGAGCTCCTAATGGATTCAGCGCCCCTAGAATGGGTGGAGGAATTGGTCCATCTGGAGGCTTTGTGGGAGACTACAAGAGAGATCCAGGTTCGCGTTCTGGCGGTGGAGGAGGGGGAGGGAGTGGTGGAGGAGGGGGCCATTACAGCGGTGGGGATTACATTCCAAACCCTCGCTATCCTGGACAAGACAATGATACACCTCGGGTGGATATTGAGTTGATTAATTTAGTCTCAGACGATGAAGATACTCCGCGATCCAGTCGTGGGAAACGAGGTATGCTACCAGTCCGTCTTGACAGACATGAGCATCAACCACGAGTCACAATTGTCAACACAGGCCCAGCCGTCAAAGCCCAGCCCGACGACGGTGATCAGATCGAGATTGACGAGAAGCGTTCTGCTCGTCCAGCAATCAAACAAGACTCTACGAAAGGAGATCCTGGAGATGATATTCAGATCAAGTCAGAACCCGATCTCACAGTGGCAATCCGAGGCACAACTCCGGACCCCTTGGCTGAAGTTGATCCAATATCTCCAAATTCCAAACGCAAAGTCAAGAATCGCCAGTTGTCTCCGGGGGTTGAAGCTGGCCATGACATATCAGCCAATGCCATTCCAGGCGCCAAGGACGAGAAGAAAGCAAGAAGAAGCAACAAAAAGCGTGATCAGAAGCCAGTTCTCCAAACCGAGGAAGACAGAGCAGAGTACGCGCGCCATCTTCTCGATGTCGAAGTTCTCGCTAAAGAACTCGGGGGCATGCAAGGAAATCTCAATTCTAGTGGCAAAGGCAAGGATGCTGAAGGCGATAATATGATGGATGATGTGTCAAAACCTGAGGACCACAGATCAGGACGTCTATACCTCTTCCAGTTCCCTCCCGTTCTACCTGAACTGTACAATCCCGTCGACGGCAACCCACGAAAGAATATCGATCTTACTCAGGCCGAGGCAGAAAAACCGAAGTACAACGATGCAGATGTACAGATGACAGGCACTGAACCATCTTCAAAGAGTAAAGGCAAGCTTAAGGACCGTAGTGATCTCATCGGTGAAGCACCTCCCATTAAAGTAGAAGAGGAAGCCGTCCCACTTGACAAAGTCAAGAAGGAAGAGGTGAAAAACGGTCGCCCTCCATATGTGAACGAAGAAGGCTGGATCGGGAAGCTCATTGTACGTAAGAGTGGCAGAGTCGAGCTGTCATGGGGCGGTGTGAACCTACTCGTCGGACGGGGAGTTGACGCAGGATTTCTCACCACTGGAATCGTCGTCGACAGTCTCGAGAAGGGTCCACCTGGTGGAGGCGCTCCTGAAGGTAGAGCATTGAGCATGGGACAGATTATGGGAAAATTCGTCGTTACTCCGGACTGGGAACATATGGAGTGATGACTTGAGATCCGGCCGGGTTGGGTAGGAGTGTGGTGCATTATAGGCGTCGAAAATGGGCTGCATGGGTTGGCGTTCGGGGGGGACTTGAATACAGGCTTGACTCCAAGCAACCAACAACTTGTGCAATACTACAGGTGGATAACATTGATAGATGAATTTAGAGACATGATGTGTTTATCTTCATTTTGCCTCGTGTTCTACGAATGCGCGAGTTGCTATTTCTTATCGACCAGATGCCCTGTCACTCGCGCGAACAGTAGTCTTGTCAAGGACACGGATTATCAGCTCGCTAAACCAATCGCTGGGTAAACAAATGTCAGAAGGTTTCCTCGCCAGACAATTGTTAACTGTTGACGGAAGTATTCGTATCTTTACGCAGGCCAAAAGGTACCAGTTCTATTGTCGAAAGCGTGAACTATCATTATTCTCCTCTAATGCTCCCTCCGTGATAGTATAGGTCAATTCTGCATCTATACAACTCTATGGTCATCAATCATCAGAGCAAGGACATCTCATTTCCGCACAGTTGCAAAATTGGCAGAGAAATCGCACAGGGTCTAGCGTATAGAGACAAGCTTGAGGTCCCATGTGATAGGATTCTTGAGGGTACGACCAATCTCAGCACCAAGAGGATCATAACACAGACATTCGTTGGATGTGTGCTGTCGGAGACACGACGAGACCGAACGCAAGAAATTTCTTTATACAGCACCAGGTTCTTCTTGTAAAGCAGTATGGTCCAAGCAAATTTACAACGCAGACAGATGCTTGATGAAGGGGTCTATAGTTCTTGGCCCCTATTGGCTTCTAGACTCCTTTAGCCATTGGACTTTAGACTACAGTAACAAAGTATTCAGGTAAAAAAAAATTGCAGAAAGAGCTGCCGCCATTGATTACCTTACAAAAAAGCTTGAAAGGTTGCCAGTTCCACTACGGTGGCAACGGACTCCATTAATATGGGGATTTTATCCATAAATTCCTATGGATAAGATCCCTATATTTATGGAGTTCGGCCACTAACGTTTATAGGAGAATTGTAATATTTATTATGAAAGTGCTATACAATAACGAAATATAAAATTCCATATTTCCATAGATATAGAAATTCTATATTTCTATAGATATAGACATTTCTTTTTGTTCCTTACCCTCCTTTCCCCTCCCCTCCTTTCCTCTTATTCTATGATCATCGTCTTACCTACTATAAAGAGACCTACCTACCGAGAAGAGACCTACCTACTGTGGAGAGACCTACCTACTATAGAGAGACCTGTTATAATATAGAGAGACTTACTTACCTTAAAAAAGAAAACAAGGGAAAAGTGAGAGAGGGCAAAAAGTGAGAGAGGGGGAAAAGTAAGAGAGAGGGAGGGGCGAGAAAGCAGAATCATATGAGGTAATAAGGTTCAACTGTTATAAGTTACTCCTATACGAAACACTCTTTTACTTTTTACCTATCCCCTCAAGCGGTGGTTCGGTAACGCCTTTTAGCGCCTTAGCGGTCAGAATCCTCACTAAAAATCGAGGGTATTCAGAGAATCGCTATAACGCCTCTATTATTTACTATAATACCAGGTAAAGCAATTACTATCTTTATAGAGTATGACCTTATAGACTTTATAGCTAAATATTAAGACTTTCCTATATCCGGATCCTTAAATATTTAAAGGGAGATTAATAGAAAGCTCCCTTAGAACCTTCCTTCGCACTCGCTAGGATACTCTCTTCTTCGTATATACTATATAATTCCCTTTAACTTAAAATCGCTCTAATATATACTTAATTACCTAGGAAAGCTCCCTAGGGTCTTTAATAGTAGATATCAAAGACGATTTACGTTTTCTATAGTTTTCCCTAGTAAATCTGAAATATTCCTTAAGAACTTCTATTTAGAACTTAGTCTAATTAACTTATTTACTCTCTAGAGGCACCTAAGAGTAGAAACTGAGTTTATAAGCGTTTATAAGAGCTATATCTAAGAGCTATATAGTTAAGGCTTAATAGCTACCTCTTCGATAGAGCTATTTAAGAGTATTTAGCCTTTTAAGTTAATTTCCTTAATCTATACCTCCTATTTAGTAATTAAACTTATCCTTAAACTTAGGAATCGTAAGTATAGCTTAAGGATTTAGTTCAAAGGGCTTCCGAGCGGTCTTTATAGTAAAAGAGGTTTTAGATAGGCGTTTATAGAGCTTCTCTACTATACTCTATCTATTAGAAAAGGTAGATATAGAAAGAACTAAAGTATTATCTTTCTACGCTATTATATTAATTAAGTTATCCTTAGTTACTTCTATAAAGAGATAGCCCTAGGGAATCTAATCTTTTCTCTTATTCTCTGCTTTTATATCCCTGAATCGCTTTAAAATACTAGATTTTATAGTATATATACTAGTAGTACTTTAGCTATATTCTCTACTATATTTTAAGAGCTTAGTAGTTATAAATAAGTTATCTAAGTAAACTAGAAACCCTTTACCTCTATCCGGAAGCTTCCCTATAAGGTAAGTATAAATAGCAGATAATAAATTACTACTGAAAACTATAAGGCGAGGAATATTCTAAGAACCTTTTAATATATCCGGATTCGATGATTTCTTCCCTTTTCTATAGAAAACTTAGTCTAAAAAGTAGCTCTTCTAAGCTAGGACCTATATCTTATATCCCCGAGCGATTAGCTTACTAGGAATCTTTAGTATATTAAAGGAACGACCTTAGAACCGGATTATAGTCTTATTAATAGCTACGTTATACCCTAGAATCTAATAAGCTTAAGAAACCCTTTAAATATAAGTATTTAAAGGCTCTAACTATCTAAGTAGTTAGTAAGTTATCCGGATATAAAGAAATCAGGCTTACTCTTTTAAAAACAGCCTTAAATTCATAATCCGGATCAGTAGTATATATACGGAACGCTATATAGATTACCTTATACCTCTAAAGGCTTATAACAATTGAAATAAGGTAATCCGGCTACTAATTATCCCCTACTCTCTAATAATACCTTAACTAGGTTTCTTAATAGATTCCTATATATATACGTATTCTAATATATTTATATACTTCGGGTATTATTATAAGGTACTAGCTATAGATCTAGGTATATAGAAGTAAGTCTGGATTATATTTTAGAGCTTTAATTTTAAGATCTATATACTAATTCGTATTCTAGTAGATAATTGTAATAGCACGGTTTAGCGTTAGCTAGCACGTGAGCGAAATGACCACGGATCAGGTGATAACCTCTCTATTAGTGCGAATATTAAGCTGAGAAGCTCTTGATTCCGTGGAGGGCGCTCGAGCCTATATAGACAAATTCCCTAGGCTATTCCCGATTAAGCCTAATTACACTTAACGTAAACTCCTATAGTAGCGTAGAGCTATTTCCCTTTACGTATAACTAAGTAAGTAACTATTAGTAAACTCTTTCAAAGTTAACTAAGCTCTACCGAGTTTTACCGAGCTTACCGAGCTCTAGATTCTTCCTAATCAGGTATAGTAAAGATATAGTTACTACTACCTTTATATCACCTCCCCCTTTAAAAAAATCGAGTTATAAGCCTAAAAGCGTAATAAAACGATTAAAAAAATAAAGTAGAAGTGACTATTATATATTAGAGATGAAAAGCAAGTAAAAACAAGTATAAAACCAAACTAATAAGTAAATAAAATAAAGTACTTTTTAACGCTAGTAGTCTTATAACTGCAAATAGTATATATTTACCAGATATTCCTAGACCGCTTATTTCTTATTAGGATTAGCTTTTCGCTAAGCCTTTTCTATCTGTATTATAATATAGGCGATTTCGACGAGTTTTCAGTTCTAGGCTCGTATATAAGTTGTAATACGCTCTCTATTAGGTTTTAAGCCTTGTAGCTTATAATTCGACTTATAAGCGTCTAGTGTTAAGAGCTTTTCATTAAATACCTGATAAAAGGGGTTCGCTACGCCGTCCGGCTTAGTGAAGAATCAAGCTATAAGCTTAGCGAGGTGAAGCAAATACGCCGGTAATAAAGAAGCTAATTCACTAGCTTCTAAAGCTTATTATAGCGTAAGCTCTAGAGCAGGGAATCTAAGCTCTAATTTGTCGATATTAGTTGAATTATCAACTAGGGTTGTAGCTGTAATAAGCTATTCTAGCTAATCCTTAGCCTCTGATTCACTTATAAGATTATTACTTATAAAAGTAAAATCGTCGTTTTATAATAAAGCGTTAAAGGCGAGCTTTAATTAGCTAAGAGGTCTTTCGCTGTTAATTTTATAATAGTCGTATATAGCTTTAGCTAAATTACTAAAGCCGTTTATATCGTACTATATATTATCAAGGGGGTAGTCTCTTCACTCTACTTAATATTATATCGTATTATTATAATAACGATAAGCTAATATACGAACTAGCTCGTATTCGTCTTCGTTATATTTTATATTATCTATAGCGTTAGTGATATTTAATTTATCGTCAGCTCGCTTATATACTTTCTATAATTAAGAGGAGTTAATAATAGAGTAGATTTTTATCGAAGGAGGTAATTCTAACTCATAGGCGTAGCCTACTTATTATATAACTTTATAAGGACCTCGCTTAATAAAGTCTAGCTTTTTTAAAGGCTATATTAACTTAAGGTTTTTTATATATAACTATACATGATCTCCTATAGTAAAATCGATATCTTATCTCGAACGATTCGTATACTCTCTTTAAGAGGCTTACGCTTTACTTATATATACTTTCGCACGCTCTATTACGTTATATATACACTATAAGGTATTTATTACATTACTCCTTTAAGTACGTTTATATTATATAACTATATTATTATCTTTAGTACACTACGTATTAGTATTAAACAGTAGTAGAGCTAAGCGAGGTTCGTCATTAGATCCGGATCCTAGATTTAACACGGGAATTACCGTGTTTTAGTGTGAAATTAACGTCTAAGTGGAATCCGGTAACCTAATATCGCTCCTATTATATAGCGTAAAGCTACTTTCCCTTATACTTCAGTTACCCTTTTTCACAGTAGAGCTACCCTTTAGCTCCCGCACCGGCGTATAAGTAGTCCTACTTAGCGTAGAATCTAGTTTAGATATCTGTTTACTTTAATATTCCTCACTTAAGTGTTAAGTAGTCGACCTTAACACTTAATAATTATTCGAGCTAGCGTTATTACTAGCGCCTGAATTTAAGGACTTTAATAGAGTTTTAGATCTAGTTATAGCAGCTATATTATTTTTTCTAATATTATTAGTAGCTTCGCTAGATAATTACTCCTAATTAAAGGACATCTTAAGCTTATAGCTATTAAGTACTTTAAAAGGACTTAGCTACCCTAGGCTAACGTATAATAATATTAACTACGCGTAGTCTAATAAGAGTAGTATTTCAGACTAGTTATCTTAATAGTAATTTAAGAACGCTTATAGTTGCTATTTTAAGTAGCGATTATAGTTCTCTGTTTAACTGTCAGTTTACAAGTAATACGCTATAAAAAGCTTTAATTTAGTTCCTAATAAGTAATATAGTTCTTACTAATATTTAGAAACGAATTAAGAGCCTCTATCGCTTATAATTATATTAGAGGCGCCGTAGTATTAATAGATATATTTTATAAATAACGCAGCTATTTGCTTAGCGTTTATTCGTCTATTACAAGTAATAGAAATCGATTACTTTATAAAACGGTCTATAACTACTATTACGTAGTCGTAGCCGTGTCGATCCTTTAGTAGCTCCGTAAAATATATACTAATATCGCGCTAAGGCTTCTTAGGAATCAGTAAAGGTTATAATAACCCCGGCGTTTTATCCGTCGATTTTTTAGTCCTTTAATAATCGTAGTACCTATTAACGTAGTTAGTAATATTAATTAGTATATTA